CCGAGAGTTCCTGGATTTGGGGGCTGTGTGGGGGCCGCAGCTAGACGTATCGAGGTTAGCTGGGGGCGTGTCTTGGCCACCCAGAACTAGCTTGGCTGCTACTGTCGGTGGTAGAATAGAATCCGGAACTGGGTTGATTGGGTGTACCGGTAAGGTAGTACTCCGTCGATGAGAATACTCTTTTAGGTTGGATGACACTGTGTAGCTGAATGTTGTCTCGTGCGGAAGAAAATCCATGCTGTTGACGGGTGTCGGGATATATATATGGCCGTGAGGATGATGTCTCATCCTGGTATATTTATCAAGTGCGTCAGTATCAGCTGGCTGGGGGCTGCAGATGAAGGATTTAATTATAAAAGATTACGACAAATAAATTAGGGGTGAAAATACAAAGCAATAATCAACACTATTAATTTATAGTAATATAGTCTGTGAATGATGGGCGGTGGTTGTTGTTGACGGCTTCACATTCAACCATGAAACGAGGTAGTTGATAAAGCATTAGAAATTGGCATTCTATAACTACAGCTTCCATGGTCTAGCGGTTATGACATGAGTCTCATATCAAGCATATGACGTCGAAGGTTAACTTCGATGAGCAATCTCAGGGTCGTGGGTTCGATCCCCACTGGAGGCACGTTCTTTTTGATTTTTTTCCCATTGATTTCGGGGAACATCGCCTAATGAACCCGTCAATATGGTACCTGCACAATGAGTTGTTTTTATGAGTGGTGTGTAGTGCTTCTGTGAACACTGATGAGCTGATATATAAAATCGTATGGGATTGTATACTCCAGATATTGGAAAATTTGTCACTAGAGATACAGTGGAATGGTGACAACCATATACTTCCAGCTCTTGAGGGACTGAAACTATAGCAGGATTTTATTCGTGAACAGGCAAGCATATACAATTCATATTAAAGATAATAATAAATACCAACTCCAATTAGACATATCCTACATACCAATGATTCAAGTGGACTCCCAGAACCAAACTACTACGAACCCACCCCCGAAAAAACAGGCTGCTCCAACCAATACTGACACCGCCGCTCATCAACCGGATCCCTCACGATCGTCAAATCACTCCCTCCAACATCCAACACACGCTCCGCAGCGCCATACCGCGGGATGACAGGGCCCAAGTTCGAGCGCGGCGTGCCCGACGCCACAAAACTCAAAACATAGTCCTGCAATGCCTGCGCTGTCGTCGTGTTCAGCGGCAGGCCCCGAAGCCGCATCTGGGGATGTTGGGGGTTGTAGAAGATGTAGTCGAGGTCTTGCCCGTGGAGGGCGGGGGGCGCGCTGAAGACGTAAGCGTAGGAGCTGTTGCGGAAGGTTTGGGAGAGGTGCTTGTTCTGGCACTGCATGAACATGTCGTCGAGTGCGACGGATGTGCGCTGGAACGGGGTGGTGTACTCGTGGGAGCCGTTGTAGATGGGTGGATAGAGGGTGTTGGCGGCGTATTGCAGGACGGAGGGTGGAAGGAGGGGTATCACTTGGTGAATGGCGGGTGTGAAGCCGGCGTCGGTTGCGCCGATGGGGTTGGTGAAGAGGAGTCCGTCTTGGGCGTTAGTCGTCGAGAAGATGGTGAGGTTGTGGGCGAAGTCACCGCGGTCGAACAGGGTTGCTGGCGCGGCTGGGACGAAGGAGCCGTCGACGACTGGAGCGAAAGGGTAGCCGCCGTAGAGAGGCGTGGTCGCGATTTGGTAGGCGTTGGCGGCGATGAGCTTCTGGGATGGGAGTCGGCGGGCTTCGGCGACGGTGCTGACGTTGAGGTTGTCTAGGAATTGCTGCAGGGTTGCGTTCTGGGTGAGAGATGGTTCAGGATACCATGCGGGGCTTTGGACGATGGCTCGTTGGAAGTCGGGAGGGCCTTGCTTGCCACCGTAGGCAGTGATCTGGTGGATGATGGAGTTGCCCGCTGAGGATTCGCCCATGACCGTGATGCGAGCTGGGTTGCCGCCGAATTGGGCAACGTGCTCGCGGACCCATCTCAACGCCATGCGTTGGTCATGGAGGGCTGCGTTGGCAGTGCCGTCCTTCTCGAGGTTCTCGCCTCCTAGGAAGCCGAAGGCGCCTAGCTGGTGATAGAGGATCAGCATCCGGACAAGACCAATGTTGGTGATATGGGCAGCTCACGCGGTGGTTCAGGGCTACATAGACGAATCCATCCCCTTCGCGACCTTCACTACGCCCAATGAGGCCGGTTGGGTTGTAATCGGTTTTGTCGCCGGAGCTCCAACCCCCGCCAGTAAAGTACACAATGACTGGGGCGGAGCCAGCCCCACGGTCAAAAACCCGCTTGGGGACTACGACATCCAGAAAGAGGCAATCCTCCGTCGTTCGGGGGTCGAGAGGGGCCGGCGTGTACGGGTACGACGAGATATTGGTGGATTGGTTGAACGGCTGGCCGGACAGGAGGCTCTGGAGGAATGGCATCTGGATCTTGGTCGACCATATTGGCCGAGCCTGGGGACATACACGGCCTTCTGCGCCCGTCTGCACGGCCGAACGATTTGACACTGGGGGCTCTGGGGCCCGAAAGCGTAGATCTCCAACCGGCGGTGCGGCATATCGGATGTTGCTAAAATTGTATAGACCTTGGGATTCCTGTACGGGGTCAGCGTGGAATGCTCGCCGTCGTCACCCGGGTAGTAAGGCAGTACATTGAAAGATATTGCTTGATGCACCTCGTACCCCAAGTTGACGGTGGGCAGGCTTGCCGCAACGCCGCTTGAGATGAGAGGAAGGATCAAGAACGACAGCGCTATACGGATGGCACCCATTGTGTTGGCCTCAACTGTTGTATGTGACGACACCGAATCAATCACCGAAACACCCAGAAAACCAACTGCTCTTTAATGAACTGGTAGTACTCCGTACTTTTTCAATTTTGATGAACTAGTAAAGCTTCTAGAGCTTCTTTGACATGACACGTCACACTGCGACCGACTGACCAGAGGCGCATATATCGGCAGCCAGGTGATTTCATTGGTGTCACCGTCACTAGAATTGAAGGATTTAAGCAATCGCCACTGGAAAACTGGGCATTTGGCAAAGTTTAATCGCTGATCAGCATAGACAGCTCTGGAAGCCTCTTGTGTGCTGTACAGGTGGGGTTTATCGCGAAGTCAATATCGCTAGTAGGTGTCATTAGACGATGCGAGCTGTCGGACACCCCGAATGCAACGTCGCTACTATTGAACAATAATGACACCAACCACTCCGTTCGGACCCTTCCATCACATAAATTTGGTTGCATATAGACTTTACGCGCGTAAGGGGTTTTGGAATATCAAATGATTCCCTGGGTCCATTTTTTCACGCCGTTCCCACCCGCCCCGGCGAAATGACTGTGCGTAGCCATAGATTTTACGGGTAGGGGTTCATTGATCATCTACCTCCCGAATCTTGTACGATTCGATCATCTCATTCGACGGCACCAGATGCTCGTTTTGCAATTTCGTAGCCGTGTCGACCCCGGCCGCGGGGACGCGGTATTCGAAGCGTTTGCCTGGCTGTGGGGTTTGACCACCCGGCAAGGGATAGGGGTATGGCAGGTAGTCCGGCATAAGACCAAGCTGCACAAGCACCGTGGCTTGGTCCCATGCAATGTGCTCATGGTACAGCCGGTCGCCCCGGATGTTTACCACGGAAGTGAACGGGATTCGAAGGGGCTTTCCGGTGGGCGGAATTCCCGGAATGCTATTGATCCATTAGACTTAGCATTCCCTCCCCACACCTTGGACAGGGGAAGAACTCACAGCCAGTCGACTTGCTTGTTGTGGGTGAGACAGAAGATGAACTCATCCACCACGCGGTCCACCCCAACCGTCCGGCTGATCAGTTCCAGTGCCGTGTCGTCAGGGTTATTGAAGATGAAATGGTTCAGGTAGAATTTACTCAGACGGTCGCGACCGACTCCGCCGGTCAACTATGAGCTGGTTACTTCCCCACATCAATGTACAGCGCGAGGAGGCTTACGGTCGGCACATGGTTGACGTAAGGCTCTTGAACCATAGTCGCCATGGTCTTCTCTACGGATCGATCGCCAAACTCATAGAACGTGTGCTCGTCCCAGATTTTCTCCAGGTCGAAATATGGACCGTCCATGTGCTTTTTGAGGAACGTCAGAGAGCGCGAATGCGCCACTCCTGCGGTGGAAATCTTGAAATCGGCGTGTCCGGGCACGATGAAGCCGGCGGATGAGGCTTCGGGATAGGAGTAGATGGTACCATGAGCGGGCCGTTGGTCAACAGCACCTTCTTTAGGGATATGAAAAAGAGCAGGAAGATTCGAAGGCGTGTCCCAGACGCCGAAGAACACTACCGAGGCCAGTTGAGTACTGGCCCCCGTGATGGTTCGAAGTGATGCCTCGAACCCGGGTGCATAATCGGACGGAGAACCATAGACTAACGCACCATCAGTCCTGGTTCCTCGAGCTTGATCAACGTCTTACATACCCAGGAGCCCATAGTGGTTCTTGTGATCGCACTGTGGCAGCGCGAAGAGGGCCTGTGCTGCTCTGTCGATACGATCTTGGATCTGGGCCGGCTCACGGCTTGTTTCCGAATCCAGTGTGACCTGGGCTACTACATAGCTCTCCTCTGCCCATTTCTGGATCGGTTCTGGATCTAGGGTTTCGTTCTTCTGTTGACATCCAACGAGATTATCCGGACGTATCATGACCAGACCCGGTCCCTGTCCGCAGCGCGACAAGGGAGGCTGCAGAAGAACATTATGGCCTAACTCCACCACCGGTGCCGAAGGAAGAATTGGAGGATAAGAAGTCATTGTGATGTGGTGCTGTAGACGAGGTTGAGGCAGAGCCGTTTAGTGATCCAATCGTTTTGCGGGGAGAAATCGGAGCCTCGGCAGGAGAGGAAGGTCACGTGCCTGGTGGAATATTCTCTTTCACATCTTCCTGTCATTGTATACACGGTATTGATAGTTGAAATGATAGGAAATCTACAATCGGGTCAAGCGTCTCCACTATACGAAACCTTTATTCGTACCATAATCCCTGTGGTGAACGGCATGCGTCTCCAAGCAGGAGTGAAGTATAGAGCAAAGTCATCATTGGCCAGCAAGCCACCACACACGTGACCCAGTCTTGGCGGGCGGACGGATTCCGAGCTTCGTTGGAGCTCCTTCGCGACATCATCTCTGCTCTCCCCACCCTTGACCATCTCAACCATGGACGCGCAATTCCAGTCCACCCTGTCAAACCTAGAAAACAGGCTCAATGCTCTCATCAGTAGTCTGACGACCTCCCCCACCGCTGCAGGCGCACCGGCCGCCGCGCTCAACCTCCTCGAAGCCGACGACGCGTTGACCTCAGACATCGCGACCCTGCGACAACACCAGGAAAACTATGCAAGGATATTAAAACTCCGCGAGGAGTCAGCAAGTCTAGAAGAGAAAGTGAAAGACATTGTACGGGAGGTAGTGCGGCATGAAAAGGACATTCAGACCGCCTGCGGAGGCGACGTCTACGACGACTCGGACGACAGCTCCGACTACGAAGATGACGTGAGTGGCGCGCCGGGGAAGCCCGCCCGCGGCCGTACCATGCGGGAGATTGACTACAAGCTCTTGCTGGACTTTGCGCGACGAATCAGCAAGTACAACCACCAGGCCGCGGCGGACGCAGCGGCCGGGGCACCGGCCAAACCGCGACCGCAGATCCAGCAGGCACAGGAACCCGCCGACACGGAGATGACAGGGATGAATAGCCACGGTGGGGCGGGGGCCACAGGGACAGAAGAGGGCGTCGCGCCGGTGGCCAGCGTCACCAAGGATGCGACGTCCTGGCTGGACGAGTCGGCCAACATGACGCGCCAGGTGTATATGCTGCCGTACCCGATGGAAGACCGCATTCGGATGGGCCTTATGGGCCAGATCCAGCTGGCGTCCGGGGAAGGCAAACCGGATTTTGATGCCGATAAGGAGGTGGAACGGTTAATTCGCGAGGCGGAGGGGCTGGGTACCGCAGGGGCGGTTCCGCCGGCGGCGGAGATGGGAGAGGCGACGCGACATGCCGAGGAGGCGGCCAAAGCCGCGGCTCATGCTGGGGTAGCTGCAACGAGCGGCCGGGCTGCGGTGGCGGCTGCGCCGGCTCCGAAGCCCAAGGCTATGCTTGATCTGGACTTGTACGACCCGGATGAGGATGACGAGTAGGGGAGGCTGCAGTATACCGGACCAACAGTCAACATTCAATGATTCCTATCAAGTAAGACCCATGAACCATCTCTGGGGAAATTGACTAATATTGATTAGCTGGGGAACTTACAGACCCAAGTCAAATGTGGACGTCTCGCCCTTGTTTCGACCATCTACCTGGGAAGTCAGCCACGGAACCCAGTCGCTTCGAATCCAACACCAATACAGTGCAAGGTGGTTGCCACATCACAGCGAAATCGCGGGACAGATTTCGTAATTAATACGCACTATCCATTAGAATCCAGGGCCAAGTCCAGCGCCGGGGCCCTAGCTTTCCCACACTGATCTCCCCAACCGGCAAACTCCGATAGGCGGATCAGATAAAGGAAGAGGGGCACCACGTCCGGGCTTCTTTCTAGTCTGAAGTGCGCAAGTCTCCTATCGATGCCGCGGGCGTACGGATAGCTTCAAGACGCAGCATTTTGAGCCATCACGAGATGGGGTGGATTGCAACTCACCCGTTTATGCTGCACCTACATGCGCGATATGAGTCTACCACCGAAGGAAGTTCGGATGCAGTTATCAGATGGGCTTGTTAGATCTCGTCGCGAGTTAGAGAATACGGTCACACTATCGAAATGAAGTGTGTTGTTGACATGCTGGCTTATACAAGTCCATTATTTGGCATGCAACCGGATCTTGGACTTTTGGTTCATAACAAACACGAAACAGTCTAGCATTATGGTACAATTGGCGAAAGTAGCTGGCCATATTAGAAGTCTGGCAATGAATGAAATAAAGTCAAATAACCCAGTTAGGTCATTCACCTACAATAAGACACAAGTTCATCTCCGGCAGTGTTAGATCTATATTCCTATGTATTTTCAACATCAATCTGACGGCCACGCCGCCTGAACAGAGCCAGCGACTTTCTTACCCCCGCAACAACACGACACCACAACGTCCTCCAAAGCCGCGCGACACCCCCCCCAACCTTCCCAACAGCATCGATCACAACAGCACAGTACTTGTCTGGAACTAGCTTTAAGACCGCCGCCCAAAAAATGCAGAACACAGAGCACCCAAAGCAGATCGCCCACTGCACACCATCCAAGGGAGTGACGCCGAACGCGGCGCCACCGACAAAGATAATGAGGACCTGGCCCCCGACCATGAGGACGTTGATCCCCATGAACAGGTAATTTCGATGAACGCCTTCGAAGACATTGAAGTGGTTGTCTAGCCGACGACAGTTGAGCTCGTTGAAGATCTGCATCCACACGAAGGTGTTGAAGATGATGGTGTCGAGCTGCTGTTGCTTGTGCGGGTCGTTCGTGTCATAGGAGAGGATTCGATCGCCGGCGAAGTAGAGGGTGAAGCAGACGGTGAGTTTGTAGATCGACTGGCCGATGATCATTTTCCACATGATTACGGAGAATAAGGGGGCGTGTTTGGGGACGGGTGGCCGGTGGAGGATCTTTTCTGTCGGGGCGTCTGTTGCACTGGTTGAGGTTAGTCTTCTCTATCTCTTCTTGGTAAGTCCCTTAGAGACTCACAGAGCCAGGGCCGCGAAGGTGTCCATGATGAGATTCACCCAGAGCAGCTGCACAGCTTTGAGGACGCTTTTGTTCGACTTGCTGTAGATTGCTGTAATAAAGGTGAGTAGCACCGCCGTGATGTTGACTGTGATTTGGAACTTTCAGATTGTCAGTGATGACGCCAGAAACAGAATATCTTCATGAAGTATCCTCGGATATAACACACCTGGAGAAACTTAGAGACGGCATCGTTCACAGCTCGACCCCACGAAACAGCAGTGACAATCGACTTGAAGTTATCATCTAGCAGGATGATCGAGCTGGCCTCACGAGCAACTTCCGTCCCACTCATTCCCATGGCGAATCCCACGTCTGCAGATTTCAAAGCTGGCCCGTCGTTGGTACCATCCCCGGTCACCGCAACAGTTTCACCAAGACGCTTGAGGTGGGTGACCAAAATACGCTTGTCGTCCGGGGATGAGCGCGCCAGGACCTGTAAACGAGGAACGACGGCGTCGACTTCATCCTCGCTGAGCTTTCGAAATGCCGGCCCTTCCATGACGATTCCAGTATCTGTGAGAATGCCACAGGCGGTGGCGATGGCTGCTGCGGTGTTGAGGTTGTCGCCTTGATCGTTCGCAGTCAGTAATCAGCGTTAGAGGTAATACGGAGTTCGTCTGACCTGTGACCATTTTGACCTGGATTCCAGCGGCGTTGCAGGTTTTGATTGCGTCTGGCACCTCGGGGCGCAGTGGATCGTGGATCCCCAATGCCCCCACCCAGGTCAGTTCCTCAATGAAATCTTTGAGATCTGGAGTGCCTCTCTGGCGATCGGTCGCTTTAAGGCAACTACACGGGAGATCGCGATAGGCCACTCCGATCATGCGGAGAGAGCTCCCTGCGTGCGCCGAAATGACATCCATGATACCGTTGCGGGTGTTCTCATCCAGTCGGCAAGCCATGATGGCATCCTTCTCGGACACCAGGTCCGAAGAAATTACGTCTGTCGAGGCATCCAGAAGAACCTCACATGCCCCCTTGACAAGAAGTCGATAATGGCCAGGTGCAGGCCGATACACAACGCCCATAACCTTCCGGGTAGACTCAAAAGGAAAGACCAGCTCGATATGGGCATTTGCGCGCTCCTCAGCCAAGTCATGCAGGGAGAGGAAATCCCGCGCGAAGTGCAGCAGAGCCACCTCTGTTTTGCTGCCGACAAACTCCCTGCCACCGCTCTGCTCTTCCTCGAACGCAGTAGAGTTCAGGGCCAGGCTATGCGCCAGCAAACTCGTCACGGTGGGCGGGAGTCTCTCGACAACGCCCGAAGCGGTGGTGGATGGTACTTGCGGGTCAGATGCCGACAACAGGTGGTTGAATTGCTCTTTGGAGCCGAAAATTCCCGCGACAACTGTCATTTTATTCTGCGTGAGTGTGCCCGTCTTGTCGGAGCATATCACGGTGGCGTTTCCCATGGTCTCGCACGCACGAAGCACCCGCACTAGGTTGTTTTCCTTCAACATTCGCGTCGTGGCGAAGGCTAGTGCAAGGGTGACTGCCAGGGGTAGTCCTTCTGGAAGACGTCAGTGGGGATCCTGTGGGCATGCAATCCACATACCGGGAATAGCCACGACAATGACTGTGACGGCAACAATGAGTATATCCATGAACTCCTGGCCCTTGACGCTGGGCGAGGCGTCATTATTTGATAGCTGGAGCAGGAACCGAATAAGAAGGACAAGAAAAAGCAGTATCGCGGCGCTACAGATATGTCAACAGAGGCACATAGAGCTCGCCGGACGGTACGAACCCTGATCCAAGCCATCCTATCCAGCTCGCCAATCGACCTAGTTTCACCTGCAGGGGCGTTGGATCGTCCTCGATCTGCAAGGAGGCCATGATTCTCCCGTGAGTTGAATGCTTTCCAACGTTGGTAACGAGGTATGAACCGAGACCCTCCAGCACCTTGGTGCCAGAGAGAATGAACGGATCCATCTCTCTTGTCGCTGTCCCATCCATAATATGATCCCATACCACGTCTCCGCTCATCTTGTCTATATGATCCGACTCCCCCGTGGCGGAGGACTCATCGCATCTGATACCGTGGCATGATATCAGAACCCCATCAGCTGGAGGAGAGTCGCCTGGCTCGATAAGCACGACGTCCCCCACATTGATATCGGCAATATGAGCCATCATGGACTTTCCAGAGCGAACGATCTTCACGTCCCGGTCCAATTTCTGCATCGTAGTCAGTGAGAAGGTCCTTGCTGATCAGCAATTAGTACGCCACCAGGGTACACCAACCCGTCTATTCAACTTCGTAAACTGCCTCTCCTTCTGCCAATCATTCCCAGCCGTAGCTGAAACGACGATCAAAATCGCCACACATACCGCGACCCCCTCAACCCAGTCGACCTTAGACTGCCCACTAGCAGCCTCATAGATCCCCAACGACAGCGACACCACCGCAGCAACAGTCAACAAGATAATAATTTTATCATTATACGCATTCCACAAAAGCCTCCACACTCCCAGCGGCCTCGGCGCCATCTGCTCATTGCGCCCGAACACGCGCCTCCTATCCGAGAACCTCTCCAGTGCCATATCGTTCCCCCCATCTGGCGTCCCCAAACCAGGCGACACAAGCGGCATCCGACTATCCAGCTTGTCGAGCGCAGAGGCCTGCGCATCTTCAAACCCCACACACGTCAGAAGACGATCCTCGTCGACCGATAACCCCGCTGAAAGGTCCGTCTGCAACCCGCGCGCCAGCCCCTGCAGGCCCCCTAGAGCGCGAAAAGCAGCCAGCGACTTCGGACTCATCAGCTTGTTGAGCTGGCCGGGCGAGAACGCGAACTTGTTGTCCTCGACGAGGAAATCGTTCTCGTTTTGGGGGTCGGGACTTAGGGCTTCTGAGGGAGTCACGTCGTCGTAGTCCCCGGCTGGAGAATCGGGACTGGATGTCGCTTTCGGCGCCATTTGATCGATCGTTATACAGAATAGTGCCCGTCGCTAGGTGGGCATGGAGATTGATTACATTGTTTCATGGGTGTTAAGTCTTTAAATGGGTGCTGCTTTCTACAATGGACAGCCACGATGCCGTGACATCATGGGTCTTCTCTCTCAATGCTCAGCCATAATCGGTGGATTGATAAGTCGCTGGAAGTATGTCATGTTCCATATCTATACTATCGCGGTTGAGGGGATCTATAGGGTTTGGATGGTTGGATGCGGGCACTGCCACGCTTGGCGGTGTCATCATAACTCTGTCCAGGGTTGGTTCATCAGCGGACAAAGAGAACCAAGATAAGATAAAACAAAATAAAAATGATAAGAAAATGAAACTGATTCAAATTAAATTATCGACGATAAGAAATTATACAACGATGGTAGAAAAGAAAAGAAAATGCACTGTTAAGTGGTATGCAGGCCAGCGACAAAACCGCCGAGTCTGTTACTAACCCTAACCCGCCTCTTTCTATAACGCGACTCTAGATAGTCATTTAAGACAACCAGCAACATGATCAATTCTCCTCAGACAGCATTTACCGATCAGTCCATGAGTCTAAAATCAGGATATGAGCCGATCGTGACCCTGGCGATGCTTGATAGATGAGGAGTGCCAATTAGAAAAACATTATTGTACGTAATTATACAAGCTGTCGCTGCGCCCACAACGCCTGCAACCGCTCAATCTGCACCTGAGTCGCCCAGCCCATATCAGCCTCGACACCGCGGAGCAAATCTCCAATAATCTGGCGCTCCTGGGCGCCTTCAAAGCACTGCCCGATGGCAAACAGCAGCGGGATCATGTATATACGGGCTCCGCCACCCGGCCGGGCCAGTGCAATCCCCGCGATCTCTCTACACCGGTAGTCGACTTCCTTGGTCAGCTCGCGGTACCCTTGCAGACGGTCGAAGGCGGTGCTAAGGCCTGTGACTGCGTCGGCGGGGCGGTTGAGCGACAGGCCCAGCCGGCCGAAGTGGTACTGCTGCATGGCGGAGGCGCAGGTAGTCAGGCCGTAAAAGATCTCCGGGAAGGGCATGTCGGCGTTCGTCTTGGGAATCTCGAGGCGGACGCTGGGGCGGAAAGTCTCAGGGACGTTCTCGAACCAGGTTTGCAGGTCGAAGGAGAGGCGGAGCCAGGTGGAGGTTGTGGGGTAGGAGTGCGGGGAGGGGCAGGGCGGGGAGGTCTCGTCGGCGAGGGGCGCCATGAACTGCTCCATTTGGGACTTCTTGGACTCGGCGAGGAAGTTGACTACTTTGCAGAGGAGCCAGGTGAGCGTGTTGGCGGCGGTGTCTTCGCGGTGCGAGGCGGGGTCAGAGGGCGGGAGGAGCTCCAGGCTGCCGTCGGGGCCGACGGCGATGCCGGCGGCGCGCCAGAGGGGTAGGTTTGCGGGGTCGAAGTGGGAGGGGAGACGGTTGTAGTAGGAGGCTTGGTAGTCCTGACGTGAGAAGTTCCAGAATGCTGCTGCGATGCCATGGCTGAATCGTGCGGGTTCGGAGCCGTTGCTGCATAAGCCTAGTAGGTAGTCGTACAAAGTCTGGATGCCGTCAAGGTGTCTGCGAAGGGTTAGCACTGGAAATTTGAAGGAATTTGGGGTGTTTGAACAACGCACGATTGCCAATTCAGCGCGGATTCATCAATCAGCCGATACATAGTTAGGATGGTTGCCGCCGCCACCATGTTCTCCGTCATCTTCCAGAACCCACCGGGCTCGAGGGGCTGGGTGGCCTTGGTCTGCGCGGTCAGCCAGCGATTGACGATGGCGATGGGCGATTCTAACACGGCTGAGCTGGAGACAAACGTGTACTGATCGACTATATGAGCGTTCATGGTGGTGACGGCGAGATAGAAATAATTGGCGGCCTTGAGAGTCCAGTCGACCTGCTCAGAATTGGGGTAGACCTCCATGGTCGCCGGACTTGAGAACAAGCCCCCCGTGGCCGGGAGTGTTTGGCCTTTCACCCGGCCGAGGTGTTTGGCGGCCAGGGCAGCGATCGAGTACCGCAGGAATGGCTCATTGATCGCACGGATGGGGACATACGCGGCGAAGAAATTCCCCGAGTCCGCCAGGTCGAGCCTGGACTGGGTTAGAACTGGGCATGGGAGTCAGGGGGAGAAGGGCACACTGACCATGGTCCCACTGTGTCTGAGTAGTGCCGAATAAGAAAGGACAGTTCATGTTCGGTCCCGGTCATGAGTTCCGAGAAGATGTCCTGGAAGTCTTCCCGATCACTCCGTATGGACGAGCTCTCGTAAGACCCGAGCCTGGGATTTGGGGGTTGTCGGATCTCCTGGGGTCCACCGAGAGAAGTCGTCATCTCTGCCGCTTGGGTCTGCCCTGACGAGGGCTGGGAGACATTGTGGTTGGATCCGCTCTGCTGCTGCTCCGGACTGGCGATGCTCGGAGTGGCCTCAACCCTAGGTTGGAGCACCGGCTCTTCCGGTACGACCGCGGAGTTCAAGCTCGCATTCTGCATGGGGGATGGCGGTCCCGACTGTGTCGTTTCAGACCCCCAAGTAGTCGATACCGATAAGCCCATCTCCGGCGGCTGAATGGGGTGCTGTTCCTCATTTTGGGCGAACCCGTGGTCACCCGATGGCTACGGACATGAGTATCATTCTTCTCCACGGCCACGGGGCACATCGAAGATCAAACATACGGGATCATGCGACTTGACACTATTCGACTTGGGATGATCCCGATACGGGGCATAACGCCGCCGGACCGAGGCACCCTGGTCTATGAATTTGCGTGTCTGAACATAACCCGGGCATTCCACCCCGGCATTGATACAGCGTTGACACCGCGGACGGGTCTCGTCACACTAATTCCGGTCAGTTCCGAGTTCACTCTGCCTGGTCGACAGTCAAGAAGGGAGGTCGTAGACTACCTTCAGGTGTCTCTTCTTACACCGCTCGCACGCCTTGTTGGAGGGGACTCCCGGCATGGTTTCCACAGTGGTGGGGCGTTACAGATTGCGGGGAGAGAGAGAGGGAGATAGAGAGAGGTGGCGGATGTTCTTCCTGTGAGAGACCTACTGCAGACCATGGTCTCACCGGGATATCACGGTGGAGACAGTCGACATGGAGAGGTTCTAACGTAGTCTCAAGAAAGAAGAACAGAGGGATTCAACTAATATGATGTCCGTGATATCCAGTTGGGGTAGAGAATGTCACGAGTCGAGGAATTTGTCCCGTCTTGGCATCTCGTCATGGATGCCATGTTCGGCCTGATGTCGGCCTGGTGGCGGCCTTGTCTCGGCCGGACGGATCAATGTTTCTCCCGATGGTTTCATGCCGATCATTTCTTTCTTCTGCCATCTCTCTACTCGCTATCTCAACTCAAACAATTTACGCCATTCAAGCATTCGTCGGTTGTCGGGAGATCTTGATGACGGGTCTGGTTCCCCCCGGTCGCCATCGTCATCATGCTTCGTTCAATCCCGCATGGGTTGTCTGCTGGTCAGACCCGACCGACGAGATCGACCCGATCGACTGATCAATTTCGCCGGGAGATGCCCGGTACTGGGTCGCTTTCGCAATGGGACAAAGGTCGCATCTATGAGGAATGGCTGCGTAAGTGATTGCTGGTTTGGTAGATAAGAAATCCATCAGATCTGGCTAACTCTGACAGATGCGGGACGACCCCACAATATGGTTTGCTCGGAATGCCGCACGCCCGGTAATCTATTGTTGTGCGAGACATGCTGTCGATCGTACCATGCATCCTGTCTTCCGGCAGAGATCATGTCTCCGGGGTCCCCGTTGTTCTGCCCGTCCTGTAAAGAGAGGCAATGGGATCAAGATCCTCCGCGGTTTGACCCGCCGGAGGTATCGTCTAATGTCTCCCCTGCCAGTACGCCCAGTGGGGTGGGACTCAGCAAAGGAGCAAGTCCATCTAGTCGAACCCCGAGTGCCTCGATGAAGTGGCCGGGAACACAGAGGAGCCTACAATCCTCCCCGGAATCGGAACGCACTCCTGGGATTCCATCCCCGGGGGCCTTTCGGGCTCGGGATTTCCTGGTTGGATATGGTGGCTTTCCCGCCGACCAGGACTTTAGACCCGAGCTCCTGATGAAATTAGAATCCATGATGACGGATCTCGAGAGCCAGTCTTCCCTGCAGCAGGAGGCGTACGAGCTCCGCCAGGAGAATGCTGCTCTGCGAAGCCAGGTCACCCATCTGAGATCCTCGGCTGGCGCCCAGCCCCCGTCGCGGGAGCCGATCGTCAACCCCGCCATCTCGCACATCCCACCTATTCTACCCCGATCCACGCCAGATACGAGTGGAAAATCCTGGGACCGAATCGTAACAGAATTCTTCTAAGCTCGGAATCTCCCCGCAATGTCCGGGCTGGATCGCGTCGGCGGATTCATAGGAACGGAGAAGGAAAATCTTAGGCCCGACGTGCCGGGAATGCGCCTGACTGGGATGTTGACAAAAGTCAACAAATGATACCCATGCAGACACGGTCAGAAAGAGGGGGCGGAACTCATCCGACCCTACTAAAGGTGTTACACCCCCGACAACACCAACCATAAATCCTGGTGGGACGCATCGCCTTGCCCGGCTTCCTCACTTGTTGAATCCTCATGCCCACCTGAACACGGCCAATGCCGCCTACTCACGGGACTCTAGTCTAAACGTAGGAATTCCGATTGACAGTCACTGGCCGATCAAATCTTCGCCCGAGGCTGCATAAATATTGACTGATCCCCTGACTGCTGGGCCTAAGACTTGTCACTTCCCGACACCCGGGTGGACCTATATGAACGAGCCGACTGCCCGAACATCCTGATGAAGGGAGAGTACTGAGTATCACATATTGAACGAAAACTGTCGAGATCGGTTGTTTACGATTCGCGGACATGACGCCTTTGTTTTCGAAGACCCTGCTGGGAATAGCGGCCCACGCGTTCGTCCTGGTCTATGCTCAAGACGACGCGCCTGGATTTGATGTGCTTGATTATGTTGATCCTCTAATTGGGACGGCGCATGGAGGTATATTTCATTCCCGACGATAAACCGGACAATAGACTAAATTTGTAGGCCACTCCTTCGCGGGTGCGACTCTACCTTTTGGCATGGCCAAAGCGGTCGCAGACACCGACAGTGAGAACCAAGGCGGCTTTGCCTCGGACGGGTCCACCATCATTGGGTTTTCCCACATGCATGATTCAGGGACCGGTGGTGTGCGTACCAGAATCAAAAGATTGATAGCAGGAGGCTGACGGATGCAGTCTGCATCGATGGGGAACTTCCCTCTTTTCGTGCACCCTAGCTGTCCTGGCGACAAGGTCGACAATTGTAAATGGCAACAGACCGATCGAGCCATTAAGTGGGATCGGAAATCCCCCAAAGCCCGCCCAGGCTATTTCAGCATCGCGCTAGACAATGGGCTCCAGGCCGAGATGACCGTGACCAACCGCTCGGCTCTTTACCGCTTCACTTTTGACGATGCCACAGACGCTCTCAACCCGGTCATCCTGGTGGATCTCATGGATCTGCCGAAGTCCCGCTCGCAGGGCGCGGTGGCTGTGGATCCGTCGACGGGCCGATTTACCGCGAACGGGACCTTCAGCCCCAGCTTCGGCACGGGTACGTACAAGTCGTACTTCTGCGCGGATTTCAAAGGCGCCAAGGTCCGCGACGTGGGCACGTGGGACAAAGATGGGCCGACACTCAAGCAAACAACGACAAAGATTGACGGTTCCGCGGTGTCGCGGTCAGCTGGGGCATTCGTCCAGCTGAACGCGCCGGCGAAGGGGAAGCCTATCTTGGCGCGTGTCGGGGTGAGCCTCGTGAGCGAGAAGCAGGCATGCTCGAATGCGGAGAAAGAGCAGCCTGAGTTTGATTTTGATGGCACCGTGGGCGCAGCAGAAAAGGCCTGGCGCGAGAAACTAAGCCCAGTCAGCGTCGACGCCAGCGGTGTGTCCTCTGACCTGCAGACGGTGTTCTGGAGCGGTCTGTATCGTACGATGATCAGCCCGCAGGACTACACGGGCGAGAACCCCTTGTGGAAGAGTGACGAGCCGTACTACGACAGTTTCTACTGGTAAGTTTGTTCCTGTGTGTGTCAGATTTCGATGCTGATATCTGCAGCATTTGGGACTCCTATCGCGGCGTCCATCAGCTGTTGACCCTGGTGGATCCGCTATCCCAATCCCTGATGATCCGCGCGTTGGTCGACATCTACCGCCACGAGGGTTACCTTCCAGACTGCCGCATGTCGCTATGCAAGGGCAACACGCAAGGCGGGTCGAATGCGGATGTTCTGATCGCGGAGGCGTACCTCAAGAAGGTCATCAACGTCGACTGGGACACGGCATACGAGGCCGTGGTGAAGGATGCCGAGGTTGAACCTTCGAACTGGGACGTCGAAGGTCGCGGCGGCTTGCGCAGTTGGAAGTCGCTTGGGTATATCCCGATCCACGACAACGACTTGGTGGGCCGGGGTACGCGCACACGCAGTGTGTCGCGGACGGTGGAGTATGCTTATAATGATTTCTGCATTGCCGAGATGGCCAAGCGCATGGGCCACACGGAGGATTATAAGAAGTATACAGAACGATCGCACAACTGGAAGAATCTGTTTAAGAAGGATCAGAAATCGGCGATCAAGGGGGTAGACACGAACTTTACGGGCTTCCTCCAGCCGCGGAATGCGAACGGGTCATGGGCGTACCAGGACCCTATCTTCTGCAGCCCGCTTGAGTCGTTCACTTCGTGTTACTTGAATCCTCAGGGGCACGAGACGTACGAAGGGAGCTGTTGGTTGTATACTTTGTTAGTTTCTCGCTCTCCCCCTCTCCTCTTTTCCCTCCTTCTTTCACTGGCACAACCAGCTAATGCTCCACAGCTACGCCCCCCAAGACATGGGCGCACTAATCAAAACCCTCGGCGGCGCGGACTCATTCACATCCCGCCTAACCTTCCTGCACGAGTCCGGCCTCCTTTACGTCGGCGACGAACAAGCCTTCCTAACAACATTCCAATTCCACTACGCGGGACGGCCCGCTCTCTCCGCGAAGCAGACGCACTCCTACATCCCCTCGCAATTCAACACCTCCGTCTCCGGAATCCCAGGCAACGACGACGGCGGCGCAATGGGGTCCTTCGCAGTGCTAAGCATGATGGGCCTGTACCCTGTCCACGGACAAGACGTTTACCTGATCACAGCGCCGTTCTTCAAGGAAGTCAGCGTGCGCAATAAGATCACGGGCAAGGTGGCTACTATCCGGAATGTGAACTTCGATCCGAGCTATAAGAAGATCTATATTCAGAGCGTGAAGAGGGATGGGAAGCCGTGGACAAAGAATTGGATTGGACATGACTTTTTCGAGAAGGGTGGTGTGTTGGAGGTGGCGGTCGGTGGGGAGGAGAGTGCGTGGGGGACGAAGACGGGGGATTTGCCGCCGAGTCTGAGTGAATATGAGTAGTTTTTTTTAAATAGGTGATGTCGGTAGATCTGAAGAATCTTGATATCCATAGATTGAGCAGGTATTAGCTATAGTTCATTTAATCCATATTGATCCACCAGCCCACCCTACATCGAGTACAAGTTTCAACATACAGTAGATCAACAAAGCGAATCATATTATCAAAAGATATCTACCACTCCAACCGATCATCATGCACAAGCTGCACACTATACCTTTCCTGGCCGTGCCATACTTTCCCCACATCATTACACCGCGCGACCGCCCCTCTCAACGAAGAGACCAGTCCCGCTGGCCCGCTGGCGAACACACGGGTAGGGCCGCACGGCGTTCTTTCCACGAAGTCTTGCATGTAGTGCGCCAGGTCAGGGTGTACGGGTGGTTCAGCCAGAGACGGCCTTAAGCAGCGCATTTCAAACGGTAACGGTGAAGTGTCCGCATCCGAACCAGACCCAGACCCAGCACCATTCCCATCATCGCAGTCCAAGCCAGAGTCAGAGCTAGAACCAGAAAGACCATCCACATCCCTCGTAACAAAAACCCTAACGCGGAAATGCGCACACCGCTCCGCAACAGCGCGCAGAGCATCCAGCTCCGCCTGAATCCACCTGACATCCGCACGGTGCCTCACAACCCACACAAACTCAACCATGCTCTTCCGGGCCGGAAACCAGCTGTTCAACACGATGGCTTGCAGCAGCGGCAGCACAAAGGTCACACCCGTGCCGCCCGCCGCGCAGAAGATGTTGATGTCGTCTGTGCAGTGGAGGTCGTCGTCTGTTATGGCGTGGCCGTAGGGGCCGGAGAGGATGACGGGTGTTGTATTAGCCTCTGACTTGGGGGTGAGGTTGGATGCCAGGGCACGGGTGATGCCCGTTTTGGCACGGATGAGATACGTATGTGATTGAGTTGCGACACCCGATGCGGTGTCGGGCACTGAAGCCGGCGTCATGGGGTGAGATTGCCAGATGGAGAGGTCGGGGAAGCAGAGGTAGAAGTGCTGGCCGATTTCCCAGCCTGAGTGGGGGTGGTGGAAGTCGATTCTGACGACTGATTCTTGTTGGTCTCCTCTTTCTTTGTCGTCTTCTTTTTCGTGGTGGCTTGCTGGTTGCTCTGCGGTACTTGTGGTGAAGAGGGTGAGCTGTGCGTTGGGGATCTGGAGTCTCCATGGGGAGGAAGAGGTGGAGGATGAGGAAGACAAGTGCAGTACTATTGTCCGGAGCAGCCTCAACCCACGATCCGTACCCCACACAGCCAGCGAAGCAATCATCCAGCAAGCCAGCTTATCCCAATGTCCCCAGCAGGCACCCACATACAGCATAGCAAGCACATAATGCGACTTGCGAAAGAACTCATACCCGGTCCGGCGAATAACACACTGCAGACTGCCGAACACCATAAAGGACAAAAAGATCATGGCGACTATACCCCAGATGATGTAGCGCTGGCGCACGAACTCGTTCCAGGTCGTCGGCTGCGGCTGGTACAGTTCGCCCTCGACGAGGGTCCAGCCCAGCGTATGCAGGACCGACTGGATGTAGATAATCCAACCGAGCCAGCGGTGGAGAAAGTTGAAGTGGTGGTAGGGGATGCCCGTGAGGAGGGAGAGGATGGATTCACGCGTGCAGAGGAGGACAGAGAGAGGGGTGAGGGCGTAGGCGAGCACGCCGATGCGGTCTGCCCAGGGGCCGAAGCCGATGCGGATTGTGTCTGGTTGGTTGGGGCCCGTCGGGGAGGTCCATGTTTGGTAGACGATGCCGACGAAGGTGAAGATTGTGAGGTAGATGATGAGGATGGTTAGGAGGAGGACGTTGAAGCGGGTGGTGGGGCCGAAGATGCGCGGTAGGGCTGACTCGGGGAGGAGATAGCGGTGGTAGAGGGCGTTGAGGGTGGATTTGATGCGGTAGAGGGTGGATTGGGTTGGGAGTTGTTTCTCGTGGTCGACATGGTGTGATATTTGGCGGGAGACAGGGTTGCAGTAGCGCGCTATAAAGCACAGCAACACGATCCCTAGAATGACCGCCCAGAGAATCGCGCTGTAGAGCATGGACAGGTCATGACTGTGGTAGACGGTGTCGAGATAGGCGCATTTCCCCGGATCATCGGTACAGGGCAACTGGCGACTGAAGTAGCCCCAGTGTTGTTCGACACCGGGACCAGACTCGGGGATGTGTTCGTGACGGCGAATCATTTATTATATACTTTGATCAAACAAATGAAGAATGAAAGAATGAGGAAGAGGGAGACCGGGTGTATTTAATCTCATGGATTAATCTCAAGGACTGTGGATACGGTGGAGATGCCAAGCAAGAAATGTGCTCAAGCGTGCCAAGTATCTGGCTGCATGGCATGTTGGATTTTATTCACGGGAAATCATTGGAGAAGTATTGATCTGATTATTGATGGAAAAATATCGGATGGATCCAGTTTGATGGGAGGATTTATGGGTGAGACTGGAGTGATGTGGTCTGCTGATCCGCGTGCCCTAATTCTGTCCAGATTTATATCAAATAGAACATCCCCACTTGATTGATAAGACCGTTACTCTGATAACATTACTTGCAATATATTATATGCATCATATTACTGGCATCATGCTGTCTGCATATCATCTGCATCATACTCAATCTTAAACAGAGTGATGCCGATATTAATCCGGCCCTCATTCTTATCGGGACAACTATTCAGGTTTCCACCTCACTACGCCATGCACCACTACAATAATGCGAGACCTAGTCAAATAAGTAAGAATCCATAGTGAAACAGCTAGATCAGGAGCATACCTACTCCGTAAACCCACATACTCAACTGACCAATAGTTCTACCTGGACCCTAAATAGCAGCAGCCATAGTAAATTTACAACAGGGGTACAGTTAGAAGTCTATTAAACCTTAAACAGTACGACACATGTACTGATTTTACAGAATAGCAACAACCCACTCTACAATACCCTCCATCCATCCACAACAATCACGACGAGATCTACAAGCTCAGACCATGCGAGATGCGGAGAATCCATAACCGAGGCATTCGGGCTTGGCGTTCTCTCCTCTAACTAACTAGTTGTTCATTATCCTGTCTCATTATCATCAACATCTATCTCACAACAACTTCAACAATCAACAGACATCCAACCGATATAAAGAAAAAATTCTTCAAAAAATGTCCGCCCTCAAATCAACCGCCATCGGCTGGCTTCTGGTCTCTGTAGGCCATACTGTATGTTACCTCTTCTATCCCATCATATCATCCACGTCACCATACCTCCTCAAATCTACCAACTCACCCTATACAACTGACTCCCCACCCAATGTACGAAGCCAAATACTAACAAAGATCAATACCAGATCTCAGCAAAAGACTGGCAATCCACCCCCAAATTCACCTCCCTGCCCACCCTAGCCTCAACATGCGCCAAAGCAGGCTGGTACCAAGGGAGTGGGTTTTTCGTCATGAACGGTTCGTCTCCTCCTTACCTATCCTGAATCCAAATTCATATACATAAGTATGAAATATACCCCAGTATACTAATAGACGTGAAGCCCTCCTCAACTACGCCTGGTCCCAAGACCCCTCCCTCCTGCAACAGCCCATCCACAAGGCCATCGCAGCCGTCATGGTGGCCATCGTGTGGGTTAGTGCGGGGTGGTATGCGAAGCGCGGGGTGGGCAGTAATGCTGTGGCTACTGCGGTTATTGGGGGGTTGCAGGGGTATGCTGCTTTTTGTTAACTTTTCTTCCTTCTTTGCCTGTTCTCTTGGTACTTTGTACATGGGCGGGAGCCTCGGTGTTGATTCTTGGGCTTGATGTACGGAAAGTGAGAGGTGAGAAGGAGGAGGAGAAGAAGGAGAAGGAGAAGGAAGGAGAAGGAAGGAGAAGGAAGGAGAAGGAAGGAGAAGGAAGGAGAAGGAGGAGAATTGATATATGTACTGGTAACATAAATACAGCACATGCAAAACATCGTCGTCGTCATCACATACATAAATAAATACAAATAAAAGATTACTCAGTTAGCCACAGGCTCCTCCTGAGCAGACACCGCCCGGCGACCCCACCCAAAGAATCCACCCCCCTCAGCGGACTTCATACTGCGTCGATTATGCGACCGCTCGATCGTCGTCCCGCTCCGGGACAGCGCCGGTCGCGAAACCGGCTGCTGCTGCAGGAGGAGGCCGCCCGCAGCAGCGCCGCCGACCATGCGGCGCAGACCCTCCATCTTGGCCTTGACTTCTTCCAGCTCCTGCTTGGCGACTGCTTCCGCCGTTTTAGAAGTCACGAGCTCCATGAGCAGGGCTTCTTCAGCAGGTGGTCGGTTATTGTTGTTGTTGCTGTTGTTGTTGATATTGGTAGACTCAGCCAGGACAGCGCCCATACTGCTGCGTGCACCGGTACTGCTGCGCTTAGTAGCGAGCGAAGTCCGCTTCTGACTTTGCGAGTTGCTGCGCACGAGCTTCAGCTCGCGCAGGCCGGACTTGCTGCCGTCGCTCGGGGAAGTCGGACTGATGGGCGACTGCAGCACGTCGGGCGGGGTGTCTCCCCGCGCGGTAGACATCTTCATATTGCGCAGGTCGCGCACGGTGCGCTCGAGACGCTGGCGATCGCGGTACCCGTCTTGGATCCGGCCGCGGGCTTCGCGGAGCTCTTCGCGCAGGGAGGTGGTCTCGCGCTCGTGGTCGTCGATGCGGCGCGTGAGGCCGAGGCAGCGCTCTGCTTCGACGGCGTGCATTTCTTTCCAGCGGGCGAGGTCGTCGCGCAGCTGGTGCTTTGTGTCGAGGGCGGAGGAGCCGTGGGGCGGAGGGTCGGAGGGTACGGAGGGTTTTCGCGCGGCGAAGCGCTCGTCGGCTTTGCGGACGAGCTCGGTTGTGGAGTCGTCGGCTGTCTGTTTGACGTGTTGCAGCATGGATTGGGCCAGGGCCTGGTCTTCTTCGCGCTCTTCGCGCTCTTGCTGGAGTTGGCGCGTCAGGTCTGTGTGCTGGCGCTGGAGGTCGCCGAGGGCCATGAGGAGGTCCTCGATCTGGGTGTGCAGGTCGCGGTCTTTGTGGTTGGGCGGGGTCATGGCGGACTTGGCGCGCGGCTTGGATGGCTCTGGGGAGAGCTCCGTTGGGGCCGTGCTGGCGTCTGACGACGACTCGACAGAGTTGAGGGTCGAGGTTATGCTCTGCTTGGAGGTGGACCGGCGCAGGATGCTGCCCCGCGCGGCGGGCGCGTTGGGCGTGAGGTTGAGCGACTTGACGGAGCTGGAGCTGGAGCCTGATCCGGCCCAGAAGCGGCCGAGGAAGCGCGAGGCGGCTGCCTGCATCTGGGGGAAGGAGATGCCGGTGGGGACGCCTTGGGATTGGTTGTAGCTGGCTTCTAGGGTCTGCAGGCTCTCTTTGGTCACGAGGGATGTGAGGGAGACGAAGTCGTTGACGAAGTCGTCGGCGTGGCATGCGTAGCTGGGATTATCAGTGGGGGTTGAGACAAAGGATGGGCTGGGAGGCTTACGTATCCCAGAGACTGCGGGAGAGCAGGAGCTGGAGGACATCCTCGAATTCGGCACAGGCAAGGATGCGCTTCTCGTTGCGCTGCATTAGCGACAGGGCCACGCGCATGAGCGTCTCGCAGGCACCTTCAAGGAAGATGACGTCGTAGATGCGGAGCAGCATGGGGAGGGGACACGACACGGCGAAGAAGGACAGGAACCACTGGGAGACGTAGACGGGCTCGACGTTGAGGGCCTCCAGGTGGGCGAAGAGCGCGGGTCGCAGGCGCGACAGGAGGTTCTGGAACTGGTAGACATGGAGGTGCAGACCGGAGAGGTCGGGCAAGTAGCATGTGCGCAGGTCGTAGTGGTCCATCAATCTGGGTTGATTAGTCCCGTGTTGGTCAGTTCTAATGGGGACGAGGGCACCTACCGAACCAAGACGCAAAACGCTTCTGCATCCGTCATGTGCATCAACAACGGCCCCACCACGAACCCCAACCCCTGGCAGTAGCCAATCTGGGTGTCGTACAGACTGAAACACTTCAAGACGCGTCCCAGCATCTGCTGTCCCTCGCCGTTGGGGTCGCGGAACATCTCGACGTTGGGAAAGCTACGGCCGATATCCTTGCCGATGAGCCCCTCATAGGGACTCGACTCGCCGCAGAGACGCTGAAATTCGGACAGAAGGGTGGAATCGCGGGCGCCAGCCAGACTGGGCCAGACCACTCCCCGCAAGGGAGCGGGGACACCGCCGCGGATCTTGTTGGTGGTCAGGGTGGGCAATCGATGGGCGGTTCGCGAGTAATCGGCGACCAGGGCGGCCCAGAACTCGAGTTCGGTCATCGGGGGCGGGGCCAGCTGGGAGTAGCGCAGGGAGGAGTTCGGATCCTCATCGATCAGGCGCTTGATCTGGTGCAGGGACTGGGAGCGGGACTGGCGCTGGGCATATTGGGCCTGGACGTTGGCCATGCCGGACTTGGGGTTGGTCGCGAGGGCGTTGTTCTCCTGCTCCAAACGGGCCAGGAGGAGGGCGGTGGACTAGCAATCTTAGTATGCCGACTGACAGTTGTGTTCGAGATTGCAGACATACCTCATCGGAGCTGTCCCCCCGCGGCTCCTGCTCTTCGGTCCGGTCCAATTCCTCCCAGTCGAGTTCACTGCGGGGGATCTCTTCGCTGGAGCGGGAACGGATGGAGGAGGCGGCGGAGGCCCGATAGGCGACGGGCTCGAGGAGGGTCTTGGCGTCGTCGTCGTCGTCGGGGGCGGACTCGGAGGGCGCAGTGACAGCGATGGCCGCCTGCGGGACGTCTGGGGACTGCCAGTCGGGACGCGCGAGATCCACCTGGGAGAGTTCGCGGGCGCGTTCTGAATTGGGCGACAGCGGGACGGTGACCATGGAGTCGGTCTGGGCGGGGAGATGTCTCCCGTGGGGATTGTCCATTGTATGTCTATTTTTTTTTTTCCGTTTTCAATTCTATATGTATAGTAATTTCGTATCGTTGTTTCGGATCGATATTTTGTATAGTTTAATTGGTGTCAGTCAGATCAATGACACATTCCTCGGGGAAGGGGTGAAGTGAGGAATGATCAGGACGCGAGGGGGTCGACGGCAGCATGGGGTTTCATGGAAGAGATCAGACAATGATATTGACAATGTCCTTGGATCGAGGTATCTGGACGAGAGAGAGAGAAGAGAAGAGAGGGAAGAGAGAGAGAGAGAAGAAAAAGAAGTGAGAGATGAGGTGAGAGTGGAAAGGAGAAAAGCGGGTTGTTTTGACTCCTGGAATGATACTGGATTTCTACGAGAGACGAATAACGGCGGTCAAGGACTAGTAGGGAGAATCCCACCCTCTCCTAATCCTCTAGTGCACACTATCCATACTTCTTTCTCACTAGTCCGACGGGATTCTTGATCCTAATCATTTCTCTTCAATATTCTCACGATAATTCCCATCATTATTCCCATACTATTCCGTCAATCTACCCCGAACACATCCTGGACCCCGGATATCAACGGTGTCCTTATGCATGCACCCGGGATTCCTTGCGTCTTGACAGATCGTCATGGAGATCACGCGTCTTCCTCGCCCCCTCGCCCGTCCATACGGACTCCATTTTCCGTGGCCTCGACGGGATCTTCCAGTGGAGATGATGCGGTGAGAGCTAGCACGACCATTTTCGTCCATCGAGGGGTCGTTGAGGATGATCCACGATTCTCCCGAGGTCCAGATCTGTCGATTGATTCTGGGTTAGTACCGAAGAAAGGTATAGCCCCTGAATCGGTGTTCTGTCCCCGTTTCACCCGTGTCGGAGATTTACTTTCCTTGATGGTGATTGGCCATGATCATACAGGGGGACTGCTGATTGGTCCGTTGGTAAATTACCGTACGTCTGGTCTCCCGTCCTTCAGTATTTGTAATATACATCATCGATACGACTGTATATATTATAGATATTATGTATATATTATATATGTTATGTATCAATATTATAGAAAACAAGGAGAACCAGGATACGAGCCAGTTCATGTGGCGTGATCAACATATATAGATACTCCTATATATACGGATATCTCATCTCCTCGTATTTTTACTCGACAGAGATCAAGTGCCTAACATTCGTATAAAATAAAGATAGGATGACCTATCCCCTACACACGTCAAAGTGTACTAGTTCCAGTAGACCCATGTCGAGTCACGGTGATACAGTCAGCCAGTCAGACTGACAAGGCAGAATCCGACGTTCAAATCAAATCTGACAATCTGACAGCTTTCTACCTTCTTGAGCTCGGATGCCTACTGATCTACTGACAGTATGCATCACAACATGTATTATCAAAAGAACTACAAAATAGATCTGTTTGTTTGTTTGTTTCCGACTTGCCCAATCCGGACGCCATGTTTAGACATTTCCTCTTCGGGCCTAGTGTCCGCCCTCGGACCGGATCAACCCTTTCTCCAGCGGCAATTTCCTGATCTCTTTCGTTATCCATCAAGATCAGGTCGCGTCAACAACCTCACCTCCCGCCAGCCCCTCGCCCCTCCACCACCTTCCTCCCGGGCGTTCTCTCGCCAAATTCTTTCGCTTCCTTCTGTATCTTTTTATTATTTTTCTGTCTTCTAATATTCCTTCTTTCGATCCCTTTCTCCAGAGGTTGACCCTCTGGTTGGGATCCCCGTTCCTGCGCTTGTCGCTTTGTCCCCTCCAACTCCCGCCATCCTTTTCTTTGTTGGAATTTCTTTCACCCCCCGACATCTCTCACCATGTCCGACGACTCCATGGTGGAATCCGTCTTCGACGACGAGGGAAGTTCCGACTTCGTCCCGGAACCTGCCCCTGTACGTCTTGCGCCCATCTCCTCAAATATCTTGAAAGTCCTCTAACAACCCCAGAAACCCAAGGCCAAAGCTGCCCCCAAGAAAGCGGCCCCTAAGAAGGCCGCTCCCAAAAAGACCCAGACCACTCTCACCGCAAAAGGCAAAGGTGCCGCCGCGAAGAAAGCCGTCAATCTCGAGAGCGACGACGACTCCGGCGACAACTTGGAAGACGATTCCGTCATGTCGCATACCCCCCCGAAGAAGGCCACCAAGGGTGCCGCCACCAAGAAGGCCGGCTCCAAACCCCTCGCCGACGTCGAGAATGAATCTTTTATAGATGACGCCGCTGATGAATTCCCCAAAGCCTCCGCGGCCAAGGGAGCCGACGCAACAGAGAAGTACCAGAAAGTACGTTCCATATTCTCCTTCCCCCACCAGAAGTCGGTGGTACTAACATATGTTAGCTCACCCAACTAGAACACATCATCAAACGTCCCGATACATACATCGGCTCCACAGAGCGCACCGAGCAGCAGATGTGGGTCTACAGCACCGAGTCCGAGGGCATGGAGTACCGCACCGTCTCCTTCGTTCCCGGTCTCTACAAGATCTTCGACGAGATCGTCGTCAACGCCGCCGATAACCGTCAGAACGACAAGAACATGGACGAGATCCGCGTCACCGTCGACCGCGCCTCCGGCGAAATCAGCGTCTGGAACAACGGCAAGGGTATCCCCATCGAGATGCACGCCAAGGAGAAGATCCACGTCCCCGAGCTGATCTTCGGCCACCTCCTCACCTCCTCCAACTACGATGATACCCAGCAGAAGGTCACCGGTGGCCGCAACGGTTTCGGCGCCAAGCTCTGTAACGTCTTCTCCACCGAATTCAGCATCGAGACCCAGGACACCTCCCAGAAGAGGAAGTACCGCCAGACCTGGACCGACAACATGACCAAGATGGGCAAGGCCAAGATCACCGACGCCTCCAAGGGCGAGGACTACACCAAGGTCACCTTCAAGCCCGACTACGCCAAGTTCGGCATGGACGGCATGGACGACGACTTCGAGGCCCTCGTCAAGCGTCGCGTCTACGATCTGGCGGGCACCACCAAGGTCGCCGTCAAGCTCAACGGCTCCCGCATCCCCATCCGCAACTTCAAGAAGTACATGGAGATGTACACCAAGGCCATCCGCCGCGAGCGCGGCGACGACGGGCCCGCCCCCAAGGACGAGATCATCACCTGCAACCCCGACCCCCACTGGGAGGTCGGCTTCACCGTCTCCGACGGCGCCTTCCACCAGGTCTCCTTCGTCAACTCCATCGCCACCACCTCCGGCGGCACCCACGTCAACTACATCGCCGACCAGATCTGCAACCGCCTCGCCGACCAGGTCAAGAAGCGGAACAAGAACGGCGCCACCCTCAAGACCGCCCAGATCCGGAACCACATCTTCATCTTCGTCAACTGCCTCATCGTCAACCCCGCCTTCACCTCCCAGACCAAGGAGCAGCTGACCACCAAGGCCTCGCAGTTCGGCAGCAAGTGCCCGCTCGAGGAGGACTTCTACCGCAAGGTCCTCAAGACCGAGGTCATGTCCAACATCCTCCACTTCGCCCAGCAGAAGGCCGACCAGATGCTGAAGAAGGGCGACACCGGCCGCCGCTCCCGCATGAACAACCCCAAGCTGACCGACGCGAACCGCGCCGGCACCAAGGACGGCCACCACTGCACCCTGATCCTGACCGAGGGTGACTCGGCCAAGGGCCTGGCCATGGCCGGCCGCGCCGTCGTCGGCCCCGATCTCTTCGGCGTCTTCCCCCTGCGCGGGAAGCTGCTCAACGTGCGCGACGCCTCCTTCGAGCAGATCGCCAAGAACGCCGAGATCCAGAACATCAAGAACTTCATCGGCCTGCAGCACAAGAAGGAGTACACCGAGACCCGCGGCCTCCGCTACGGCCACCTGATGATCATGACCGATCAGGATCACGATGGCAGCCACATCAAGGGCCTGCTGATCAACTTCCTGCAGGCCCAGTTCCCCAGCCTGCTCAAGATCCCCGAGTTCCTCATCGAGTTCATCACCCCGATCGTCAAGGTCTGGAAGGGCGACCCCAAGAACCCGACCAAGCAGCGCTCCTTCTTCACCATCCCCGAGTACGAGAGCTGGCGCGAGGCCCACGCCCACGAGCGCGGCTGGGACCACAAGTACTACAAGGGTCTGGGGACCAGCACCACCGAGGACGCCCAGGTCTACTTCCGCGACCTCGACCGCCACCTCAAGGAGTTCCACACCATGCAGGACAACGAGTCCCAGCTCATCGAGCTCGCCTTCTCCAAGAAGAAGGCCGACGAGCGCAAGGAGTGGCTGCGTCAGTTCCGCCCCGGCACCTTCCTCGACCACAGCGTCGACAAGATCTCCTACACCGACTTCATCAACAAGGAGCTGATCCTCTTCAGCATGGCCGACAACATGCGCTCCATCCCCTCCGTCGTCGACGGCCTGAAGCCCGGCCAGCGCAAGGTGCTCTACACCTGCTTCCGCCGCAACCTGCGCAAGGACATGAAGGTCGTCGAGTTGGCCGGTTACGTCTCGGGCCAGACCGCCTACCAGCACGGCGAGGGCTCGCTGCAGCAGACCATCGTCGGCCTCGCCCAGACCTTCGTCGGCTCCAACAACGTCAACTGCCTGGAGCCCAGCGGTAACTTCGGGAGCCGGCTGCAGGGTGGCTCCGACTGCGCCAGCGCGCGTTACATCTACACGCGCCTGTCCCCCTTCGCCCGGCGCGTCTTCCACGCCGCCGACGACCCCCTGCTCACCTACAACGAGGACGACGGGGCGAAGATCGAGCCCGAGATCTACGTGCCCGTCGTGCCCATGATCCTCATCAACGGCGCCGACGGCATCGGCACGGGCTGGAGCACCTCCATCCCCAACTACAACCCGGAGGACGTCGTCGCCAATCTGCGGCGCTTGATGGACGGCGAGGAAGTCCAGACGATGCAGCCGTGGTTCCGCGGCTTCACCGGCGAGGTCCAAGCCCTCGGCGGGGACCGCTACAAGTTCAGCGGCATCATCCGGGAGAGCGGCGAGAAGGAGGTGGAGATCACCGAGCTGCCCATCCGCTCGTGGACGCAGGACTTCAAGGACAAGCTCGAGGACATCATCAAGGCCGACAAGACGCCCTCCTTCATCAAGGACTACAAGGACTACAACACCCACACCAAGGTGCATTTTGTCATCCAGATGGACGAGAAGCACACCAAGATCAAGCCCGAGGACTACGAGGACAAGTTCAAGCTGACCAAGACCATCGCCACCTCCAACCTGGTGGCCTTCGACCCCGAGGGCCGCCTGACCAAATACACCACCGTCGAGGACATGCTCAAGGAGTTCTACGCCGTGCGCCTGAAGTTCTACGAGCGCCGCAAGCAGCACCAGCTCGCGGAGCTGCAGCGGGAGCTCGACAAGCTGACCAACCAGGCCCGCTTCGTGCAGATGATCATCGACGGGGATCTGGTCGTCTCCAAGAAGAAGAAGGCCGTCCTCGTCCGAGAGCTGAAGGACAAGGGGTTCAAGCAGTTCCCCAAGGTCGCCGATGCCGCCAAGGCTGGCGAGATCGAGCCTGCCCTCGAGGACGAGGAAGAGCCCGCCGACGATGCCGAGGAGTCCGGCGACGTTCAACCGGGCGCCTACGACTACCTGCTCGGCATGGCCATCTGGTCGCTGACCCAGGAACGCGTCGAACGTCTCCGCCGCCAGATCGGGGACAAGGAGGTCGAGATCGACGCCCTGATCAAGCGGACCAAGGAGGATATCTGGCGCGAGGATCTCGACGCGTTCATCAACGAGTGGCGCTTCCAGCTCGACGACGAGTCCCGTCGCCAGCGCAAGGTGGCCAACCTGGACCGTCGCACCTCGTCCAAGCTCATGACCGCCGTGGGCCGTGGCAAACCGGCGGCGCGCAAGCGCAAGGCGATCGCCGGCGATGACCCGGATGACGAAGATTTTGCCGCACCCAAGCCGAAGAAGGCCGCCGCCGCGAAGAAGGCGGAGCCCAAGGGTGGCCTGATGAACTATTTGAAGCCGGCCGCCAAGCCGAAGGAGGAGGAGGATGGGGACCAGGATGTTGACATGTCTGACGTGGAAGAGGTCATGCCCAAGAAGAGTCGTGCCGCACCAAGGGCTGCCGCCAAACCTGCCGCCAAGGGGAAGGCCAAGCCCAAGGACGAGGACGACGACTCGCTGGACGACGATGACTTCATGGAGATCGCCAAGGAAGAGGCGACCAAACCGGCCGCACTGCCGTCGCGTGCCGCCCGCAAACCCGCCAAGATCACCGAGCTGGACGATTCCGACAGCGACGATGGGGATGATCTGCTGGGAGATGTCAGTAAGATGGTCAAGGGCATCGGCGGCAACGACGCCTCGTCCGAGTCGCGCGAGCTGTTCTCGGAGCGACCCCACGCCGGCAACAGCCCGGCGCTGGGTACGAACTCGCGGACCGCCAAACGATCGGGCGATTTCGATCCCGACGAGACCGACTACAGCAAGTTGATCCCGCAGAACTCGCCGCGGCGGGCCCTGCAGGTCAAGTCCAAGGAGAAGCCGGCGACCGCTGACGAGGATGAGGGCGACGACGACGACGAAGAAGAGGACCCAGTAGTGGCAGCGAAGCCAGCAGCCAAGGCCAAACCGGCCCCTAGAGGCAAGGCAGCCGCAGCGCCCAAGGCAACGGCAGCCAAGACTCGCGGCCGGCCCAAGAAGGACGCAGCCGCCCCCGCAAAGCCAGCTCCTAAGCAGACCAAGGCGGGCGCGAAAAAGAAGGTAGTCGACTCCGACGACGACATCGACGCCATGGCCAACGACATCCTGGATTCGCCCGCCGGCAAGATGGGCGCAGACTCGGAGGAGGACGCCCCGCGCCGTCCGGCCCGACAGGCGGCCGCTCGACCGGCGCGACGGACGGCCGCTGCGAAGAAGACTTACGTGATTGAGGATGATAGTGACGATGGGGGGGATGATTCTGCGGATGATTTTGATGATGAGAGCGAGTAGTCGCCTGATTTTCTTCTATCAACATCGAATTCTTCTTATTTTCTATTTTATTTCAGTGTATGTGGCGTTAGGTCAATGGATGGTTCTGAATTATTTGTGTCTTTTATTAGTTTCGTAGTCGTCGTAGTCTATCCCAATTGTATGATGACGTCTTTAGCTATCCTAAATGATATTAACAAGAGAGAGGAGAGGGGAGAGAGAAGTGCTCCATAAAAATATAAACCCTTATATCAAGTACCCATACGCAATGCTATCCATCTACCAACCAGTTCTAGCCCTAAGAATGAAAAGAAAATAAAAGATCCCTGCCAGATATCTAAAGCGCAAGTGCCTAAATGAACTGAAACGAACCGAACTGCGATGAAATGGGATGAAAAACCAGAGTAGAAAACTAGAAAGAGACACAACATACATAGACATAATAGAAAAGAAAAGAAAAGAAAAATAAAGCCAGGGACTCCTTCTATCAACCAGCCTTGTCTTGTTCATCCTTATCTTTGGCTACCTACCTGCCTACCTACCTACCTACCATCATCTACGCATGCATCCATCACCAGCCATATCAGTCAATCCACCTCAAGGAAAGAGAAGAAGTCAAAAGGAGAAAAATCAAGCCGAAGCCCTCCTCCTCTTCCTCGCCCCCTCCCCCCCAACCCCAGCCCCAGCACCACATCCAGCGCCATTACCAACTCTACAAGCCAACGACCCCACAAACTCATCATCGCTAGCTGTCGCTGTGTGAAGATCGAGCAGGGCGTGCGCGGCTTTGACTTCGCGGGCGAAGAGGGCAGCGCTGGGTTTGCGTTTTCTCGGTATCTCAAGGGAGAGTGGATTGTGGGGGTGAGGGGGGGATGTATGTAGGTGGTTTTTTGAGGGGGAGGGAATGGATGGAGAGATCTGTGTGGTGCTGCAGTTGGATTTTGTCTGCTCTGCTTCTTGTGGGGATGTGGTTGCGCTTTTTGTTGTTGTTGTTGTTGGTGGTGTTGGCGTTGACGTTGACGTCGATGATGCGGTTGGGGAGCATGTTGGAGAGGAGGATGACGACGGCGGCGACGAAGAAGAGGATAGATAGTTGGACGACGAAGAGAGTGACGAACAAATCGGTCTATATTGTCCAGGAGACAAGCCCATCCCACCGTCACTCTCACTGCCACTGTCTGAGTTGGCAGTAGCAGCAGCAGCAGTAATAGTAGCAGTAGTAGTGGTGGTAACAGTAATGGCCCGCTGCTGCACAGACATCCTCCTCATAGAAGTCGACAGCGTCTCCGGCGAAGGGATCCTCCCCTGTAGCCCATCCAGACTGCGCGGTGTATTAACAGGTTTGAATGTATTGCGCGGGCTAGCAGACAAGCTATGCGGCGCTGTGCTCGCCGTGGTACTAGTCGTCGAGATATCGGTGCTGTAATCTGGTGAAGAGCGGTATCCTCTCCTTCCCTCTCCGCCTCCCCCTCCCTCTCTACCGTATATCCTGCCTGCATACCGATGGTGATGATGATGATGATGACGATGGAACGGTGCTCGTTCAGACTGGACACTCGTGTTCGACCCATCCTGACAAGACCGGTACGATTGACTATCAAAGCTCACCATCTCCCGACTCGAGACATGCCCGCCCCCCTCCATCCGCGAAGAGACATACTCGCCCCTCTCCATGCATCTATAAACGCTCGTCTCACGAGTCGCCATCTGAATAACCTGCGGCGAGACGATCATTCTGCCGAACAGGTTCCGATTATCCGGATGGATGCAGTCGTTTGGAAAGTCCACGCCGAAGAGAGGTGTTAGTGCGTAGCGGATCTTCCAGCAGAATGTTGCTGCTATGGCTCTTGCTGCTGTGTAGGGCATCCAGTATCCTTTGGAGGTTAGCCAAGTAGGAAGGGGAGAGCGTAAGGGGAGGAGGGTAAGGAGGGGGTACCTTGTGCGGCGAGGGCTCCGCCGGTGATGCTGTGGCAGATTTCGCGTAGGCCGGGGTTTGCGTTAAGGACTTTGGCGGGGGTGGTCTGTTGATTAGTTAGTATGTTCAATTGTAAGGGAGTGAAGAGGTGGATGGATGTATGTACCTTTGAATAGTCCAGACATTTGAACAGATGAGTCGTCCGAACCAAACCGATATTATAATCCCACATAACCGTCCACGGCTTATCCTGCCCGGGGATCTTAAACGTGTATTGAAAGACTCAATAAACCATCAGTCCCATCATTCCCATTAAGAACAACAAACATAGAATAAAAAAAGAGAGAGAGGGTAACTACCTTCAAAACCCCCCCGGCCAGTCTTCTCCTGAAACGACTTCTTATCGCTATTATAAGGAATATGCCTCGGAAACTCCGCAATGTCACTCATGGGATGGATCTGGAAGTCACGGTGCAGTTTCAACAGCTCGGCGTCTCGGCGCTCGCACGGCGCAAAGCGGCACTCGCCTCTGACTCTGCCGCGGTTGAAGATGGGGGCGTCTTTGGCCATTTTTGGTTTTCTGGGGCGGTGGATTGGAACGGGGACTGGGATCGGAGGTCGTGAGACTAGAGGTAGAGGACTGGATGTGTTGGGCGATGATGACGGTTGTGGATTTGGGAGGGAGAACCGGTCTCGCTCTCGGTCTCTCTCTGGGAAAGGAAGAGGGTTGAGGAGGGATTTTATGGATGCCATCGCATACACACACACTGGGGTTTCTCGATGAGTCCGGGATGGGGTCTTGTGTGAGTCTGTCTTGCTGTGACGATGTCTCTTCGACCTCTTGTTCAATCAAGGATGGTAGTATATCCCAGAAAAGGAAAATCCAAGGCCCTGGCAGACGACGGCGTATTTGATCTCGGACAGACAAAGACGATGAGGCTAAGAGATCACCCGGTCGATCCTAAGACATGTAGAAAGGAAGGAAGGAGATTCTAGAAGCCCTGGAGGGATGTCTTTAAGCAGACAATGGCCGAACAAGACAAGACAGACAGACAAGACAGACCGACAAGATAAGACAGACAAGGGAGCAAGCAGACGATAAAGATAAAGATGTGAGAGGTGGGTACGGCAGACATGCCAGAAGGGAGGGTCTCAAATACTTTGGGAGTGATATGGAGATCTACGAGAGCAACCGTCACCTCCTTTATCAAGACAGGCAGGTAGATCTATTTGGCACAGGGTCCGGTCCGAAGTGGATACGATCCGTGACAGCATCTGATCATCAAAGTCGCTCAAATGGCCACACCTCTCTGTTTGTCCTTCCTAGTTCGGCGGTATGCAATCTCTGCTCGAGGCATCACCCTGAACAGAAATATAGAGGGAGAGAGGGGAATGGGAGCGGTGAACCCAAGGCCACGACTGGATCAGATCTAGTTGGGTGGAATGTCTTGGATAGGGGGGTACACTCCTCCCCATATGCCATTTTCCCTCCTCACCGGTCCTTGAACAGTGGCAAGGCAAGAGAAAACGAAGGGAAAGCAAAACAACATCACGAGGCACACCCATCACGCTGGCCTCCCAAGCAAAGTGCGCGAGTCCAGGCTTTGCCATACCCCGTCGACGGCTGATTGGAGCCCTAGTGGACCAGTATAACCGGGACACACCCGACCATTTGCAACCAGAACCTTCATCGACAAGAAGCGGTGGACGATGATTGTTCACATAATTGGGTTCCATTCGCCGGGCATCATTCTTTCCTTTCGCGGGGTGGACAAAGTCGCTCTCCCATGCGGACCGGATCTTCGAGGCTCCATTCGTTCCACATCCCCCTTTCTGCAGCTACCCAAGAGAAGAAGAGATGACGCAGACCCAAAGCGACGAGACGAGACATGGCGGAATCCAGGTTTCAGGGCTACCCACGCACCCAGCACCCATGTGGAGGGTCACGTCTCGCCCGCGTTGTCGTGGTTGAAACCCGTGTCTCTTGGCTTTCTGTTTTTGCAAACAGAAGGCCGACGGCGGTCTACGCCCAATGAGGTATGGGACTGGAGCAACCGTCAAATCCGAGAGGGTGTCGACAGCCATTGTTTCGCAATGCGTTGACCCTATCTACCCAAGGTCGTTTCGGTAGGTTCCATTCTCCCGGATCAGGTAGCCCTCCCCTAGCGGATACCTATTGATATCCGGTGAACTCGACTTCAGGCGGGAACCACGGAGGATAACTCCTCAGAGGTGAAGAGCCAATGAGCAGGAGAGATACAACGAGAATGGCTCCGCGAGGCGATTATTAGGGAGGTCTGAGACCTTCGGAAAGCTGCAGGATACTTTCTTCCTGTATGACGGGAGATTGCGGTTGCGACCAACCAACGAGTCCTGATTCAGGCAGGTGTGCAAAGTTGTGGTTCTAATTGTATTTTTATTTCTTCCCTTATTTTTTCTTATTTTTTTTAATATATTTTATTTCATTTTCTATTATGAGTCTTGACTAAGCAGACACGGCGAAATGAGGATAATTCTCCGTCTCCAGGATCAACCCACAATCAACACCACCCAACCAAACTACAGAATCCCTAGCATAACCAGCAAAGCCAACAATTCATCCATAGTAAAAAAAATGTTACACCCCCGAGATCTCGGAAGGTATAGCGCCGTAAAGACAGATACGGCCCCTCTTCGTCAGGCGACAAAGCAGATCAGCCTAGCGGAGTAAGCATTAACATCAAGCCTCACTATTGCAGATGTCACACCCGGGCTAGCCAGCAGCCTGTTGGACCCATGGTCACGCCGTCCGCAGAAGCGGGTCTCCTCATTTTAGTGAGTAGTCTGCTTCATTCATTGCCACGGGCTGTGCCTGTGTGGTGTGCTGGAAACAAAGGAGGGAGGAGTGAGTGCCGGTCTTCAAAGAACCTTCCACGCAGGCTTCTCTGCAGGAGTCCCACGATGTGTGGCGTCTGGGAGTGGTCTCGTAGGCTTGGTGTGGGGCCCATCGATTTTGAAGGTCTTTCATTGACATGTCTATATGTCTCCAGGAACACCACTCTCCACTCTCAGCGTGAGATGGCTGTCTTGGGATATTATGTGCAACCTACCGTGAAGGTATGGATCAACAGTAGGTATGGTAGCTGCACGCATCATTTGATCTAGAAAGGGGTGTTTGGAGGGCAAAGGTCTTGTTTGTGGACAAGAGAGAAAAAAGGAGTAAATTCAAACAAAAAACAAGAATACCTACAAAACAAACAAATTATAAACAAAAGGAAAATCATCATTCCCAAGTTAATCACAGGCAAGGCAAAGAGGAAGTAAGTCAAGATCCATCTTTGTCAATTAAGACAAACTCGGATGGATGAATGAGACAGACTAGAAGATCTAGAAGGTTGAGAAGAGCACAATATCCGAAACATGGCTAGGCTGGATGGAAAGAGGGTTTCCTTTCTGTTCTAGGAGGCTTCTGTTTGTTTCTGATCACATCGGCTGTACAATATGTTGATCAATCCACTCGATAGAAGGAATGACAAACTGGGAGATGGAGTCAATCAAGGTCACATGGGTCGGTTTTCTCCCACGGGACACCGTTTCAGGGTTAGGTTGTTACTGGGAAACCTCCATCTGTAGCCCATGATGTTGAAACAGTATATGATGGATGTAATGTAGTAATCAGATTTAGAGTAGATCAGGAGAATGAGAGATATACAGAAAGAGAGGTCAAAGTAGAAATAACCTCTAACCCAGACAGGCTAGATCTCCGACCCTCATTATGTACCTGAGGTAGCCCGATTAGTTCATTCACAGGTTGACCACAACATCCAGGACTATCCAATACTTGGCAAAGAAAGAACCAAACACGATGCCATCAGAAATATGGTCTACCCATTCCTCGGATCGTCATCCCGGTGACCCGGAAATGGGTTCATCCCCGACAATCCTCAAACAGTCTTGCAACAGTGACACCGGTGTTATGGTTAAGCTGGATCCGAGGTAGGGTCGGGTCTGTCCTTTCCTATCTATCCTACCCTATCTCCTTGAAGTAATGTCACGTTGGAACTTGAAATTAGTGGGGGAGTAAAATATAAATAAAAACAAATAAATCAATATATAGAAAACTTTTCAAGATAGATAAATGTATAAAAAATAAAGACAAAAAACAACCGGCACTCACAACTCGGCACTTGCAAGTCCCGTGTAAGGCGGAATCCCAACATCCTCGGGTGAGACTCGACTGCTTCAGATGCTGGACCTTCCCACAACTGGGTGGAGAAAAGAAAGAAAGAAAGAGAGGGGGGCCTTTCCGGGTCCGTCTCCTCGGTATCACACAGGTCATGGCGGTTATGCAATGGAACCCTCGTACAAGTTGGTCGTTCGGGTGCCGGGGAAGCAAGCTCGACGATAGAGCATGGAGCACGGCCGGTGATCCGTTCCTTTGGGAGATTCCTTTCTCCACCGCGGACTTGGCTGGACGTGCGTTCAATCAATCAATCAATCAATCAATCATTCCTTACGGTAGGTACATAGGTGGTGGTCAAAAGTACACAGCCTCTGATTGGGTTCCCGTAGAAAATACACAAATCCGATGGTGTGGTCTATCTGTGGAAAGACAGAATTTTTTGTGGTACGACACAAATAGGAGAGAACGGAACGGAACACAGCAGCGAGGGTTCAATTCAATCAAGGGAGAAAAGGATAGGATGAAAGAGAATGAAATAAAATACGAAGGGGGAAATTCCCCTACTGGGAAAGATTCACATCATACCATCTGATCATCGTACAACAACGAAATTATCCTTCTGGGTACCATGATATCGGGTCAATTCTCGCTTGGGTTCGTCCCACACATACACACACTGGCACAACTGCACTGCTCCGACTAGACTCCTTCCCGTCGGAATGCAAGGGAAAAGAATCCGTCACTATGCCACCAAGCGCCCACACATCCAAAAGGAGGAAGGAGGACCCGGCGGCAGATGAAGGGGCGGCCTTGCGGAGCATCCTTTACACAGCCAAGAGCGGCTCCTGTTGGACCTGCGCGGGACTGGAGGTCTCGATGGACTCTACCACGGGCTCCTGCTGGGACTCCTGCTGGGGCTCCTGCTGGGGCGCCTCCGGAAAGTCGGAGGTCTTGACGGCGGGCTCGGACACCGGCTCCTTCTTGATCACGGGGTTGGCGACCTTGGCCATCTCCGGTGAGGCAGAACGGCGCTGGCCAATGTACTCCTGGGCCTTGGCGCTGTAGTCGTCGACGTACTGCTTCATGAGACCGGTGGCCTGGGTGGTACGCTCCTCCGCCAGGTCCTTGATCTGGTTGGCCTGGTCGTTGACCATCGCCTGCGCCCTCTCAATCTGGGCATCGATGACTTCACGGTTGTTGATGTAGACCAGGGGACCCAGGTACGCCACGCTCGCCGCAAAGAGGGACAGGCCCCAGAAGGGGAGGAACTTGATCAGCCAGTAGGCGGTAAAGGCCGCGAAGAAAGACTACTCGACTATCAGACACGGTTCTTCCAAGCACAGCGGCGATGACCTACAGCAAGGGTGTGGACAATGTTCTCGACGAACAGAACGCGCTGGAATTCGATGAGGGCAAAGTCGAACAGCTGCTCGAGATCCTCCAGGACCGCCTCAATGGTCTCCTTGGGGATGGTGTAGTACTTGCGGGGGCGGAACGAGCTGGCGAGGCCATAGGACAGGGCAACCTTGCCGCCGATCTCCAAGGCGGCCATGACTAGCGACCTGTCAGCAGCCGATCGAACCGTATGATCGGAGTTACTCTGGTGGAGGTAACTCCGCACAGACACCCGTTGGCGGGGTTCCGTCCAATCGCTCCGAACGGAGATGGACACTTACAGCCAAGCGCGACATAGATGAACTTGAAGAACCAGCGCAGAAGAGGCAGGTAACGGGCGGCGAAGATGAAGACCACGACGCTGGCGAAGGAGGTGGCGGTAGCACGGGGTTGTTCCCACTAGACACACCAGTCAGGACGCGGTGAGAGTGAGAGTATTTGATAGGACACTCACGCTGAGCAGGCTGTACAGCAGGGAGTGGTAATAGGTCAGGGGCTGCCCGGTGGCGGTGGTGGTGTCGGGCGCGACTTTGGCGTTGCTCAAGTCCCGGAATTCTTGACCGGTGCGGGAGGCTTCGGATTTGATATTATCCACGACGGGACCTGTCCGTTCGACGTCAGTCTCAATCTTGAGCGGTCTAGAAACTATCGATGGCATTGATCGATAGTCAAGGGGAAAATTACCCTTTGTGAAGACATTGCCGGTGTCTGAAGCAGTGTGGTCAGTCTGTGTAACGGGGGAGGAAATTTTGTGCCGGGAGACTAGGTCGCAACTCGGTCAGCTCATTTGTTTTGGAATATCTAGTCTCCGAAGGTTGGATTCAATATTTCACTAACCTTACTGTCACCGTTGGGATTGGGATAGCTGACATCCCCGAAGCTGTTGGAGTCGGCCATGGTGGGAGGGAAGCGGGAGGTGGAATTCCGGAGAGATAAGTAGCCGAGTAAACAGGAGGATGGTAAATATGGGGGTTGTGGGGAGGAATCGAAAGGATTAATAAAGTATGTAAGTAGAAAAGAATATTAAGGTAGAAAGAAGGAGGTGGGAAAGAAAAGAAGAAAAGAAGAAAAGAGGAGAGGGAGAGATAGGAGAGAAAGCAAGGAAATGAGGAGAGAGAGAGAGAGCGAGAGAGAGAGAGAGAGAGAGAGGGTGATGCAATGCAAAAATAAGCAAGCGAAACAGACTAGACTAGATAGACAGTTCCGCATCACCCTCCCGATCTTTCTTACCATTATTATGACGATTGATTCTTTTATTTTATATTCTGTATATAATAAGAATAATAATTTATTTATTTATCTATCTATCTATCTATTTATCTATCCATTTATCCAAGTATCTATCTGGTTAACTCTCTATTCATGAAGAGATCAAACCTCCCAACCGAGACATGTGACAAGACCTCGACTGTTGCTCTCCATGCGCTCATGCAAGGGGTCGAGTCGACTTCAAATCAACTGGGAATAGATCCTGAAAGTCCCCACTGACAACAAATTCCTGCAATGTCTGTTTTTAGTACAGTAGACTCTAGATATCCATCGGTGTCATTAACACGATCTTGATCTCCCGATGATCCCCCCCACCCATTGAATCTCTCCAGATGATATTCAAAGTAGCGAGACCGTGGCGATAGGAGATTCCCATGGTTGACACGGAACGACAAACCCTGGGAGCCTTTGAGCCTGTTTTCCATGGCGACATGACATCACCAAGATGGTACCAGGTTGAGACCGATAGGCGACCAGGCAATAATCCATTGTATGCAGGCATGTTCATCTGCAGGTTGTGGGATTAGGAATGCGAGGGACTCGACAAATTCGGTGTGAACATAGTCTCTGTAGACTTGAGGTTTGAATGTGGATTCCCTGAATACTGGAGACCGAATATCTAAGAGTTGAAGAGTATAGGTGTCGAGTGCGTGGTGGAATGACCGTCCAGAGCGTTGATATCATCGTGGCCTTGTATATCAGGCATATGTGTGCTCACGTGACAGGTGGTGGACGCGTTCGGGATGTTTTGATTGTCCGATTCAGCTTCTCCTTCCCTACAGACCTCGAACACCGACCACCTCTCGCCCCACGTCGATACTTTCGCTGATACCACTCAACTCATGGCGACTACTTGGTCCGAATGATTGTCTCTCTCGCCCTCTTTCGTTAATTTCTCCCCCCCTCCCCCACACCCGTTGCTAACCCCGTTCGTTGTTTGTTTACATCATGGCCGCTGCGGGCGCGAGGTCGCAAAAGCCGGTCGGCTCGGCTTCCTGGATTGCCGCCGAAAAGGAAAATGTCGTCAATCTGGTAAATCAGGAACTGGAAGAAGTTGAATATCCCGTGCGCCATGAAATGGACTGGCTGAATGAACATATGGCCGAGATCTTCTCCAACAACCACTTGTTCGTGCCCACCGACATGACAGATGCCGGACATGGCGATCCATGCTGACTGCTGCATAGCAATTTCAAAGAAGCTTTCAAAACTCCGGGGAAATTACGCGGCAAGACCCCTCGCACGATTCGGAAGAGGGACCCCAATGAGCACCGTGTGGTAGGTTGACAACCATCCCGCTACTTCCCACCCGCCCCCCCTCCTCGTCGCTAACCATCCCTAGCCCTTGAGCCAGATCTTCTCCTCCTCTCATAACCGCACGGAGGATAAACTCAATTCCAGCCCGGGCATCCACCGCTCCCCGACAAAGGCCATCACCGCACCGAGCCCCTTCCCTCCCCCGTCGGCCGCGAAGCCCACAAGCAAGCCGGAACCCGCGTCACCCCTCAAAGATGCGGGTCGGACCCAGAATCTCAATTCGTTCCAGACCTACAACACCGATTCGGGGTACCATGGCATGCCGGACCACGAGGATGACAGTGGCGTGGACGAAAATGAAGAAGACGACGACGACGACATGGTTCTGACACAAGTGCAGCCGGAGTCCCAGCCAGCCACCCAGCCGTTCGAGGAAGAGCCTGCTGAGCCCGTTGAGCCCATTGAGCCCGTTGATCCCATTGAGCCCGTTGATCCCGTCAAGAAAGATACCCAGCAACCGCGCTCCTCCATGGACCTGGACCGCCGCACCTCGAACGCGTCGTTCCACTCGGCCCAGGAAGAAGTTCGCCAGCGTGGACAGACCGCCGAACCGATGATCCTTGACTCGACCCCGAAACAAACTGACGTGCAATCTCCCCAACCACAGCTCGCGCCGGAGGTGCCAGAGTCCGTCCAAAAGCCAGAGCCAGAGGTGATGCCGCAGGACCCGCCCAAGCCCAAGGCTAGAGGACGGCCACCGAAAGAACGCCCAGCCAAAGCACCCCCGTTGAAAGAAACCTCACCCGATGAACCGTCCGAAAAACACCCATCCAAGGAACAGCAATCAAACGAACGTCTTGCTGAAGTACCAGCGGTCCAGCAACCGATCCCAGAATCGGTGTCTGAAAAGGAAGAGCCCAACAAGGCGACGGTCTCCCCATCGCCCGTCAAAGCTCCAGCGACTCAGTCGCGCGAGTCCATCCATGAGAACGAGGCTGAATCCAAGGATGAGATGGTCTTGGACAGCTTTGACGACATCGGCTCGCCTTCGGATGGGTCTACCCCCGAACGACCTCCCGTCCGCAAGAGCAGCCTGAGTTTCGCCTCACTGCCGGCCCGAGAGCCGCTGATGAAAAAGAGCCTCGGTGGATCAAGACTCTCTAGGACGAGCTATGTCGACGTGCCCAAATTGACCAATGCCGGACCATCGGGCTATCTCGGTCGGCAGGCGGGCGGGAGTAAGGCGGCCCCGGCTGCCTTGGACGAGCAGCCCACTAACAAGATGGACGTTGACGATGACAAGCCAGCCGGCCAGGAGGAGTCCGATGCGGACGCCAGGGCCAGCAAAATCCACAACAAATCCTCCACCCAGAGGCTGCATGAGAAGATCAGCATGCTTGGAAAGCTCCAGCCGTCTCGACCCACCAAGTCCATTCCTTCGGTGCCCGGATTGTCGGCCCAGGTGTCCTACCCCGAACTTCCCGCCGCCAAGGCCGATGCGAAGCCAGAGACTGCGGCCCAGCAAGCGCGCTCCACGCCGGCTCCGGAGCCCAAGGATGCTGCTGAAGATGATTGGATCAGGCCTTTGAACTCGCCCGCCAAGCAACTGGTTCCGAACAAACAGACTCCCGCCCCCGCCAAGACCCCATCCGAAGGACAGCGCCGTGGAGGAGAGGAAGACAAGGCGCCCGTGCTGATTGCTCGCGACCAGAGCGCGAACAAGCCAGAGCGGCCCGCATCGGTCGCCAGAGAGCCCTTGGAAGGCACCAGGGGTCGATCCGCAACGCCTCTCTATTCGTCTCCGCAGCGCCCGAGCCACAAAAAGAGCGCGTCTGTGTCGATCCCCGACGCTCACACATCGACCACTCCGATTGGCTCCCCTGGCCGCCGGGACGGTCCATTGAGCGCGTCGAAAAGCAGGTTCCAATCCATCGTCCGCTCGGCCAAGGGCCTGTTCACCCACGCTGGCAGTGTTTCTGGAGCCGCCCGAATGGAAGCACCATCGCCCAGTGACGACCCCAAGACCCAGCCGGACCTCACCAAGGCGGAGGCTGGTGCGGACAAACCGAGACCGCAATCCGCCCGTATTGCCAGCCCGCCGCGCCAGGAGGGTCGCCGGACTCGGAGCTCCACGGAACGAGAGGAGAAGCGTCGACAGCGAGAACTCGAGGAACGGAAACGCGAGGAAGAGGAGGCGGAGCAGGCCCGGGACCAGGAGAAGCAGAGGGCGTTGCAGCTCAAGGCCGCTCAAGAAAAGGCGGCTATCGAACATGAAGCCCGTGGACCACCCTCCCCACACAAATCGCAGGTGCAAAAGCAGCCGTCCAAGGAGCCCGACACAACCCACGACGTTCCTTCCAAGCTTCCCACTCAGATCCCCATGTCGCAACATCAATCGAAACAGAACGAGCGTCGGCCCGTCAAACCGGCTCGCGATGCGGCGCAAAAGCCGAAGCCGCAGCCGGTGTCGATCCGTGTGGGCAGTGCTCTTTCGCGACAGATGCCGTTGGCTTCGGCTGCTGAGTCCAGTGTCCCCGTGCCTCCGCCTTCCGCCTCGAAGCCGCCGACAATCAAGAAAAAGGCAAGCAACCAATCCTTGCACACGGCCTCGTCCAACAGTAGCTTCAAGAGCTCCGTGTCCAGCCAGACACAGAAGAAAGCACAGCTGGCGAGCGAACGGAAGAAGGAACAAGAGGAACGGGAGGCCCGGCGCAGGGAGGAGCAGAGACGGGAGCTGGAACGTAAGCGCGCTGCTGCTCAGCAACAGGAAGAGACCCGTCGCCAGGAGATGCGCAGTCGCATGGAGGCGGAGCGACGAGAGCGACTTGGCGTGGAAGATTCCAAGAAGGCCGCTCACATGCAAGCGATCGAGAAGCGACGATTGGAGAATGCGCGACGGATGGAACGGCAGGGTAGCCAACAGCCCAGTGATAGGGTGAGTGCTTTTGGATCTGCTAGGAGACCACCGCTGACTGACTTTGACCAGACCTCGACCCTCCACCACGAGCGCCCGGCGTCCCAGGCCACCCAAAGAGGCGAAATGGGAACGGCCCGGCCTGCTTCCCGTCTGGGGTCGATCCAGACGTTTGGTCGGTCCATCAACCCGCCGCAACCGAACCCGGCCAAGCCCCCGAAGCGAGGTCTGGATGAGGAGGCCAGCCATCGACCCACGGCTCCGAGACCGGGTAACATCCCCTCGGGAGAGGTCAAGCGGAGGAGGACGGAGGACGAGCAAAACCCCGTGACGCGCCCGACGATGGCTCCGCCGATCCGCCAGTCGAACATTCGCAAGGAATCCAATATCCGCAAGGTAGGCACTAAATGGCACGGTTTTTTTTTTTTTTTTTTGGAAGGCATAATGGACTGACCTCGATTCCAGGAACCTACCAAGTCTTCTATTTTCGGGCATGGCCCGTCTATGGCTCACCCGGGGTCATCCATGCTCAACAAGCCCGCGCAGTCGCAGCGACCTGGAGGCCCGATGGATCTGGCCAAGTATGCCAGCGGCAAGATCCCCTTTGCGGAGCCGTCGCATGGTCCGTCGCACAAGACCCCCATTGCCTCCTCCCAGAAGGCCCCCGCCAAGCCATCTCCCCAGTACCCTAATGGAGAAAACGTTCAATTGCCGGAGATCGCGACTGACAGCGAAGACGAAGACTCGGACTCGGACATGGTGCCCGTCCCCAAGTGGGCGCAACCGAGGGAACTGGAGTCGCTGTTGCGACAACAGGAAGGCATGGAGGTCGACTCGATCTTCGGACCGATCGCGCCCTTCTCTCTAGAGGAGACATTCAAAGCCGACAAGAAGATCAAGAAATTCCGCGACCGCACCAGCAGCGCAAACTGGTCGGGAGCGGACGGACTGACGCAAGACGAGATCCGGCGCGATCTGGCAGAGCGCCAGCGGCTGCGACTGAACGGGGGGTGGAGTTTCAATGGGAACTAGTCTGGAGATTGCAGTGCATTTGGTTTTATCATTCTGTGGAGCGAGGTCTTGGGCCGCTTTTTGTTTTAGTAGTGGATGTTTGTTTCAGTAGGAGTGTCTATCTTAGTAGGATGTTGGGTTTGGGGTTATATTCGGTTGGCATGGTTGGATGGCGTTGCATTGATATGGAATACTTGTTAGATTTTTACTTTACTATTTTATTTACTTACTACTTTACTGCATAGGTGAATCAGAGCAGTGTTTTATTTCTACCATGGAATTAAAATAACACAACTCAAAATAATTAGTGAATAAAAACAATCCCTTCCTAAAGAATGACTAAAGCTTTAACAGTAGAGTTCAAAGGGAAAAAAAAAAAAGAAACACTTGTGCATCATCCGTGAATCGAACACGGGCCTCATCGATGGCAACGATGAATTCTACCACTAGACCAATGATGCTTCCATATTGTATCGAGGGAAGTAGTGGGTATAAGAGGGGCTAGTTTTTCTATTACTACTCCATCGATGTATCGAAGAGATCAGAGAGTGAGTTGGGTAATGAGGTGGATTGGTGTGAATGTACATATATTAAGGTGTCATATTAGTGTTTCTCTCTTGAATTCTGCGGAATGGGATGAGGAAATAGGATTTCTGTTCGACATGATCGATTTCTCTTTTGTTGCGAGAAGTATACAGTATGTATATATATATCTCCCGAGCTGAACATATAACAAAATCGATCAGAAACGCCAGTCAACCAGGAAGCACCAAGTACTGGCTAATATCATTATAGAAGAGAAAAATACAGCCCAACATCAGATGACTTGCAGAGAATTCCCCTTACAAAATGGGTCAAAAACCATGTTGTTACAACCATTCGCAACTGTCATGGCCATGAAAATCATTGAGATATTTTACAATCTCATTGCCAATGGATCACAATATTACATTCACTCATGTGGCTCACTGGTACCTGCTATTGTGTCATTGAACCCGACTGACACTGCATACCTCTTAGCTCAGGCCAGAACCCATCACTCTCCCGACAGAACCACTCGATAGTAGCCTCGAGAGCATCATCAAAGCCCGTCTTCTGCACCCACCCCAGTGCACGCAGCTTGGAATCATCAGTCCAGTACATGCTGTCGTTGAACGGGCGGTCCGGAACAGACACGATCCACTCCTCAATGTCTTGATGACAATCCCCGTACATAACCTCCAATATCTTCTCCGCAACCTCCCGAACCCGAAGCTGGGTTTCTGAAGAAATATTGTACGTTTCGCCCTCTTCTCCCCGGTGGAAAATCATGTCCAGCGCCTCGGCTGCATCCGCCGCAAATACGAACGCGCGGGCACACTGCCCATCGCCGTGAATGGGCATCTTCTGGCCCCTTCGGAGATGCATGATTAACTTCGGAATGAGCTCTGCGCAAACAACCTTGTAAGAGGCATCCCAACAAGACAATATAGGTAGGTAGGTAGGGCGACTTACTCTCCGGGTACTGATATGGCCCGAACACATTGTTACATCGTGTGATCATCACCGGCATGTGGAACGACTTCCGATACGCCTGGACGATCATCTCCGCCGCAGCCTTGCTCGCAGAATACGGGTTGGTGGGGCGTAGGGTATCGTCCTCTGTGAAAGCAGAAAGTCCCCGCGGACCCGACGCGTCGTTCTCCCCGTACACTTCATCCGTGGAGACATGGACGAACCGTCGAATGGAGCCGATCTGTCTCGCAGCCTCGAGAAGAGTCTGAGTGCCAATTACATTAGTCCGCGTGAAGGAAAGCGGATCGTCAAAGGAAGCGTCCACGTGGGAACGCGCAGCGAAATGGACAATGCCGTCAATGGCGTACTTGCGCAACGCACTGTCAACATCGGGGAGACTACACACATCCCCTTTGACAAAATGGAAGTTGGGAAGGTGCTGAACGGCGCGGAAGTTGTCCACAGACGCGCAGTACCCGAGATTGTCGAAGCATACGACCACGTATCGGTCTCCGTAGGTCTGGATCAGGCGACGAACGAACCATCCCCCGCTGAAAAGTGCGCAGCCGTCAGAAAGTGAAGATATAGTCTACATTTAGCGCGAGGGAGTGGTGGGGGTGACGGTTCGCTCACATGAATCCAGCTGCCCCTGTGACAAGAATAGTTCTCACGCCTTCCAAGAAGTCTGATGTTGCTGCTTCCACGCGGTTGGTTTCGGCAGGGTGGTAGCCATTCGAAGAGCTTTGGTCTTCTCGCATGAGCATGTTGGGATACTCCGCGTTTTCAGTCCCGTTCATGACACTCACTTTCGGGGTGACGGCTGTTCTGCGTCTTATTACTGATCGGCTCTCGAGCTCGCTGCAGATGTCTTCGTTACGTCAATACTTGCACGAAGAGGCCAGCATAGCACTGTTCATTCATGATCCTGCAAGACAGGTCAGCTCGTGCACTCCCTGGAAACCGCCATCTATGGACGGGGCACGGGCGCTTGTCTACCTGCTGAAAAGCCAGCCACCGTTGATCCCATCACGAAACAGTGCCATCATAACCCATTGTAGACGCTTTATACGTCATTCGACCTATTTGATCTCTTGGCTGATATAGTGCAGTTCGATTGTCAATCAGACGATATGATTGTCTGCACAAAGAAGCTAATATCTCGATAATGGAGGTGTGGTTAGCAACAAGCGGAAGCTAGGCGTTATCATGCCATGCTTTTGCCTGCCTACCATACTGCAAGCTATTATTCTGACAGAGAAAGATATCCCCAGAGCTCGTGTGTTGAAAGCTTATGTCAAAATCTCAGATGGTTGCCCAGACGCCGTCATTTATACGGTATCAGCATGGGGTCTTGGAATGAAACCTGGATGCGGTCCAAGACGCAGTGATCTCAGGGCGAGATGAAGTCGCTTACGCCCGGAATTAGACGGATGTTACTTGTGGGGTTTCACTAAAAACTACTATTAGGATCGAAGAGGCCGTTGATCCAATCTGAAGCAGCTGCGCTGGAACGACTTTGGAATGGCTTCCTGACGCGAATGATGCGTGTCTAGATACACCTCGAGGATTGTCACGACTAGTCGACTATCTAAACTTTCGCCAAATAAGGTTCATGCCAAACTCCCAAACAATGATTATGCAGCAACATTATAAACCAAGAAGTATCATCTAATCCAATACTGCCACTCTAAACAACCTCCACAGGAGAATATGTCCGACAGTGGGCATCGTCCTGACGCTGCCCAGTCACTTGGGTCACAAAGTCCTCATCGACATCTCTCAAAATAACATGAATATGCTCTAGCGATCGCACACTCTGCCACGCCGTCCGATTTCGAAACCACAAGATATTATCCCCCACATGCTTCCGCTGCCTCATTTCATCCCCAAACGTCCTCTCCAAGAACTCTATGATACACCGACGCGAATCCGGCGTTGGATCGCCCTCCGCATCCACAGCGACAGGCGTCTTGCTCCACACGACCAGATGCACCGTGCCCGGCATCATCGCGTACGGCCAGTCGTTGCGGAGAATTCGATAGTCCGACTCGTCTGCGAAGGGCGTCGCATTGCGGTAGGCGAACAGCGACGGGCCGGTCTGGGGAGACTCCGGAGTCCACCGCAGCCGGTTTTGCACGATGTAGTTCGTCGCGGAGCCGAACTGAGACCGGATATCTCGCGTCCAGAGGATGTAGTTGCGGAGGTCGGTCGGAGTACGGCGCAGGAGGGACATGTCCCCGCCGGCTATTTATTGTTAGGGAGACGGGATCTTGAGAATGGCTTGCCAGCACTCACCGATTACGGCTTTGATGTCATCCCAGCTGTGAGGAACAAAGTCCTGCTCTGCCGTGTTGAGGACGGCCTTGTCTACATCTGTGAGCTCAAAGGGAGAGTTCTTGATGAGCTCTGCGATATCTATTACGCCGACCATGTTGAGATTGGACGTGGTGGATGAGTTCATTCACAAGAAAACGTTTGAGATATCTACGGTGTCATGTTTTTCTCTTCATGCGCTTCGGGGATGCTCCGACACGTTAATCCGGCGGTGAGTAATGGAATGACTCGTGGTGCAGAAGGTTGACGTGTCCGGAATGCTTTTTTGATAACCTGCAGCCACAGACTGCTGGTGCTGAAAGTGGCAGTCAGTAGGTGACACGGATTTATCCGATGCCTCGAAGTGGCAGCCCGGAGGTGTAGATATAAAAATGCCCTCCAGACGGCGCAGATAGATGGATGGCCCTGGAGCCAAGAAAATAGCGTTAATCATGACGGAAATTCACATCATCGCCACACTGCGCCCTATTGTCGGGAAAGAAAACCAGGTCTGCTACGAATAATGATATCCTTTTCGCTTCTCCGCGTTGACGTTTCACGCAGCTCCGAGATATACTTTCCCAAACAGCGGGGAATGTGACCCGCGAGGAGCCGGACTGTCTGACTTTCCTATTGACGGAGACTCAAGATCCCCACGAGGGCTTGGTGTTCAAAGTGATCGAGAGGCAAGAAATCTCTCCTCCTTCCGATGCGAAGTCACACAAGCTGACTCGATATACAGATGGACCAGTCAAGAAGCCCTGACGCGACACCATGACCGAGATTGGCTGCAGGAGATGTACCGGGCCTTCGAGGACGAGCAGCTACTGGTGGAACCGGAGCATATCGAGTATCTAAGTTTGATCTCGGGATTTGCAGCTCGCTAGGTAGCGTTATGAACTGGGTTAGCCCTTGTTGCGCAGAGTGCTGCTGAGCAGCCCGTCGGGCCGCCGACTTCTTTTAATGAGCGACGCAATCCACCCACCCCGGCAGAGGTTGGGTTGCTCTGCGTAGTTTGGTGCATGTAGAGTGACCATTAACTGCATCACTATGACGGCCCGGGTCGGATGGAGGTCCTCAGTGGCCTTTGTGACGGTGGTTGTGTGCGTTGCTGTATTCACCGACGTGTTTCTATACGGGTTGATTGTGCCAATACTGCCTTTTACCTTGCATGAGCGGATTGGACTGCCCGAGGGTAGTGTCCAAAGATGGGCATCGACTCTCCTCGCATGCTATGGTGGATCTATTCTGCTTGGGTCGTGTATGTCTGACATCAAACAGCGAGGGTGTATACCCTCACGACTACCATATTCAACTGACCATGTCTACTGTAGTGCTATTCGGCTGGGTAGGCGACCAGACAAAAGCCAAGCAGGTCCCGTTCCTGCTGGGGATGGCAGTGGTGGGTGGCGCGACAGTGCTCTTCTCTCTCACAAAGACGCTCTCCCTGGTCCTGCTCGCACGACTCTTGCAGGGTCTGTCAACAGCCATAGTCTTCACGATTGGTTTCAGCCTACTTCTCGAAACAGTCGGCAGCAAACACATTGGGCGCGCCGTCGGGTTTACCAGCATGAGCCTGAGCCTGGGTCTCTTCGGCGGACCGATCATCGGCGGCTTCGTCTACGACCGCGCAGGCTACTTCGCGGTGTTTGTGCCGGCTTTCGCGCTGATCGTACTGGAAATCATCCTGCGACTGCTCCTACGACCACGTCCTCCGGTTCGACATGACAATGACCCCGACGAGAATGAACCCCTGCTCCCAGATACAGCAGACACAGACACACAGCCTGCATCCGCAGTGACCGCCCCGAGCATTCTCCTCCGCACGCCCCGCTTCCTCGTCGCCATGACAGGCATGTGTCTCCTCAACACCTTCATGACAGCCTTCGAAGCCGTCCTCCCCGTCTACCTCCGCTCAACCTTCCACTACAGCCCCAACCAAATCGCCATCGTCTTCCTCTCCAACACGCTCCCCATGGTCCTCTCCCCACTCAGCGGCACCATCGTAGACCGCATTGGGCCCTTCTGGCCGGCCGTAGCGGGGTTCGCCGTGGCAGGACCGAGCATGATGCTGCTTGCCCTAGTCCAGCACAACAGCCCGACGAGCTCGCTGCTGCTGCTGCGCGCGTTTCTGTTCCTCTTCGGCTGCGGTGTCTCTATGGCCATGCCGGCGGTCATGGCTGAGATGAGCATGGCTACGGAGGCGGTTGAGGCGCGCCATCCGGGTATCTTCGGCCGCTATGGCGCGTATTCGCAGACCTATGGGCTGAGCAATGCTGCTTTTGCGGGGGGTACGTTGGCGGGTCCGCTCCTGGGGGGGTATATTAGTGAGTTGGCTGGGTGGGGTGTGATGGTTGCGGTCCTGGGAGGGTTGAGTCTGGGGATGGTGGTGTTGGTGGTTGTTTTTACTGGGCGAGAGGCTGTTCTAGTGACAGGAGATGAATCGTAGGAATATGCGCAGGGTAGTATGTGCTTGCACTTCTCTAGTAAATATCCATCTCTTCTATTTGGCTTGATATCTCAAAAAAACTGGGTGTTTGACCACGGATTTTCTTGCATTTTTTCTTATTTAGATTGGCCTCTTGACTGCTCGATAATCTATCTATTTGACTCAGCGCGAGTGCTTTAGAAGATCCCCAACAGATTTTTTACAAAACCCTCGACAACTCCACATGACTGCTTTGCAGGGCTATTGTTTTTTCTTAATTATTTAGTTAGTAAAACAATTAATAAGTCAATTTAGCCATGTGACCAAGCCGCTGAACGAAGCAAGGAATTACAGCTTGTCAAATTATCAGAGACCCTTGAAGCAAAACACCAAATAAACACCAAATAGTAATAACCCATACCATACCAACTTACTTCCTCGTCTTCGTAGGCAAGGTCACCGGAAAGTCCAAGGACTCAACTTCCGCGGGGAAAACGATCCTATTCTGCCTCCTCACCGAATCCAACACCCTCATCCTCAACAGCGTATCTTCCCATGGGACAGTCATACTCTCTTTCATGAGATAATAAATGCACATAGCCGCCTCATCAGCCTCGTACCTCAACCCATAAACCCTGTTTGGGAGCGAAACATCCACCTCGTGAGACTTGCCCACCTTCACGGACCCCTGCTCGCGCTCCACGACACACACCCTCGAGGGGCGCCACGGGGGCCCGAAAACCTGAATCTCGCCTTTGTCGCCCTGGATGCGCACCACGGGGGTGTTTCCGTCTGGGTCGCCTGCGGCTCGGAGGCTCGCTGAAGCGATGGCGAGGATGGCGGGGTCTTCTGTTGCCTCTGCTGCAGGGGGAAGGATCATGAGGATGGTTACTGTTTCGTCGACGCTGGAGTTAGAATCGAGGGTCGCGGCTGATGAAATCTTGATGGGATATCGGGGTTTTGCTCTTGGCGACATGGCTTGGAAGACCCAGTGGAGGGAGTAGACGGCCACTGTCTGACGTTAGCAGAGGTTTGATTCTAGAAGTTAGGGGGGAAGGAAGAGTACAGTCCATCAACGCCCCGCCTGCCAGCCAGGGAGAAAGCATCCTATCTCCCGTGATGAAGTCCTGCCTCGGGTCCATGCCTAGGCTATTATCCGCAAAGACACGCGTTATCGTCCCGATAGCACCACCACGGATAAGCTGGTGCACCGCCAAGCCCGCTGGGAGGAATCTCGTCCAGAGACCCTCCATCAGAAAACGCTTTTTGGCTTCGGCAAGGGCGAAGAGTTTCTTTGCCTGGGCGGCGCTGACAGCGAGGGGCTTCTCGCAGAGGACGTGCTTGCCGAGGTGGAGGGCAGCCATGGCATTCTGAAAGTGGTGGGAGTGGGGGGTGGCAATGTAGACGATATCAACTCCGGGAGAGGCAAGTAGCGATTCGTAGCTGCCGTAAGGGGCGCAGGGGGGTGGGGCCTTGACTTTGGTTATGAAGGCTTGCGCAATTTCAACGGAGGTGGACGATGCGACTCCTACAAGGGAGTGGATGTATTTGACGTTTGAGGGTAAGAGTGATGGTGATGGTGATGGTGGTGGTGGTGGTGGGTCAAGGAGGAGGTCCTTGGCAAACGCTGGAGTGGGATGAGGTGAGTTAGGGCTGGATGATGGGAGGAGGAGAAGAGGAGAAGAATATACATTCGGCGACGCGTCCGGTTGCTGGGAGGTTGTCAGTTTCTATCTTGTCGATGAAATTTGATTTGATTATTGATATGACATACCTAGAATGCCCCATTTGAGAGTGAGTATTGTAGGGACTGACATGATGGTGCGGTATGGTTGAGGTCTTGGGCTTGAAGCCGATGCTTGCGTGGTGGATGAATAGAGGATGATAGACACGACAAAGAACGGATAGATTATTGATATAGGACCACTTGGCAGGTAATCCTAGAGCACCTGGTCAGAGTCATGTATCACAGCAGATCAAGGTTATCCTGAAGAGTCATCAAGCCCGGTTTAAAACGTCATCCATCCCTCATTACCCCCTCGTTCCTTCCGGTGAAGACCAGACTTTTCTCTCATACGCAGAATCCACATATGTTCTAACCTTATATGCCCCATCAGGAAGTTACTATGGCTCCAGCCCTAATCCCCACGACAACGCCAACTCTCGTGGGCAGCGAGTTGGCCAACATCCACGATGCCCTCGCCTCCAAGAACCTCAGCGGACAAGGGAAGTACACCCATCTCTGCGAGCAATGGCTATCCCACTACATGGGTAGTGGCAGTCGAGCCATCCTGGTGTCATCCTGCACCTCAGCCCTAGAAATCGCCGCCATTCTCGCCGACATCCAGCCCGGCGACGAGGTCATCCTCCCCAGCTATACATACGTATCGACGGCCAACGCATTTGCCCTGCGCGGTGCAGTTCCCGTCTTCGTCGACCTCGACAATACCACCCTGACCCTCGACGCCGCTCTCATCGACGCGGCCATCACGTCCAAAACCCGCGCTATCATCCCCGTGCACTACGGCGGCATCGCCTGCGACATGGACGCCATCATGCGCATCGCATCGCAGCACAACCTCCTCGTCATCGAAGATGCCGCCATGGCATGCACATCCACCGACCACGGCCGCATGCTCGGCACAATCGGTCAACTCGGCTGTCTCAGCTTCCAGGAGAAAAAGAACTTCACAGCCGCAGGCCAAGGCGGCGCGCTACTCATCAACGACCCGCAGCTGGTTGCCCGCGCCGACATCCTCTACGCCCATGGCACCAACCGCTTGGCCTTCCAGCGCGGCGAAGTGCCCCGCTACGAGTGGCTCGACATCGGCATCAACGCGACGCTCTCTGAGCTCCAGGCAGCTTTTCTCTACGCGCAGCTGCAAGCCGCCGACCAGATCGTCGCGCGCCGTCGCCACATCTGGCACCGCTACGCCGACACGCTGGCTCCTCTAGAGGCCAGAGGACACTTGATTCTGCCGCGTGTGCCGGCCAACACGACGCACAATGCGAACGTGTTCTACATCCGGGTGGTAGACCCCACGCGGAGAAGCCCGCTGGTGGATTTCCTGGCGGGGAAAGGCGTCCAGGCGCACCCGCAGTTCATGCCGCTGCATCGGTCCCCGTACGGAAGGGAGCATGGGCGGTTTGTAGGCCCGGACTGGGTGACTTCGCTGGCAGCGGCGCAGATTTTACTGCTGCCGGTGCATTTGGAGCTGTCGGATGAGGAGCAGGGAGTGGTTATCAGTGCGGTATTTGCGTTTTGGGAAGGGATGGTCTGAAGTTGAAGGTTCTGTATGGTTGTTGGGATGTCAGTCATATCAAGCCGGCACATGAATTGTTTGAGCTAGAGCAAGGCTATTCAGTTGGGTATGATATGCCTGCTACTCTCCTAGAATTTTGATACAAGTTGTGATTGGGTGGAGTAATGACCCTCAGACAGAATATAGGAGAGTAATAGGCTTTTAAGGACTTGCTATTCACTGGACTCTGCATTTAAGGTTCAATAAGACCTTGATCATTGAAACCGTATCACGCTATTCACTGTTAAAGACTTGACTAACATCAACTTTAAAACAGTGTTTCTATTCAAACATGACCTCATATCTTTACAGAGTTCTCTCCGTCCAGCCACACCCACGCGTCCCTGCCCTGTACAGGCACCCGATCCCCGCTCACAACCAAGAATCTATACTTCCACTTCTCGTTTGGCGTCATTGAGGAGTTCCTATCCAACCCATGCTACCGTGGCTGTAGTCTCCAGAGCCCCCCCATAGATTAACTTCCCGTGGACAAAGGGTATGGGCGCCATCGGCACCACCGGACTCGTGATAACAAGCAGACCCCGTTCATAACTTATAGATTGGGTTTTTAATTCGTGTCCCGGCGACACCCGGAGGTCGCGCTTTTATTATCCTTCGGCGTTTAGTCTCCCCGCCAATGCTAGCATTACTGTGAATCTCAGGGAGTATTTCCCGCAACTAATACGTGGGAACAAGGCAAAATCCGCCGACTGTCGTGGTCTTTTCTGCGATGTGCTGCTTACTTACCTCGTGGCTAGCCAATTACTCTTCATTGCTTGTTTAGTGGCAGCATTACTATTGCTGAAGGGAATAGTTGAATCGGGGTGAGTTGAGTAGAGGATGCTGGATCAAGGCCCTGTCAGGTCCCTCCATGGCGCCTACCTTTTATAACCCTTATGGCACTATATTTTGAGTCAGAGGCCAGCGATAGAGGAATCTAAGCTACTTTCTTGTATTCTGCCTTACTACATGTAGCCACATAGCCTTTCCTTGCAGTGTAATGAAGTTCGTAGAGGGGCTTGGCTTGACACCTCTAGAAAGGAGAGTCATCACAAAATCAATTATAGAAGATAACGTCGTCTCGTGCGTCTGTACAAATCTCCTTCATAGCCCATCCCACGCTATTCCATAGAACCACCCGTGAGGATGGATGATCAACATCCGGCATCGCGTCGGGGTAAGACCGGATTTTCCCCGCATAATCGGCTTGATCTCCGATCCCGGATGGAGTCATAAATACAGACCCATCGTGACTTTCAACTGACATTTTTGTCGCTTGAGCAACTGATATTACTGTCCACACTCCCTACAAGAAACATGACAGACTTGACAAAAACCTACAAAATTCTGGTTCTCCCAGGCGACGGGATTGGCCCCGAGGTCATGACCGAAGCCACGAAAGTCCTCTCCACATTCAACAGCCCCACCCTCGCATTCGACCTCCGGGAAGAGCTAATCGGCGGCGCCAGCATCGACACCCACGGGCAGTCCGTCACCCAGGCCGTGAAAGACGCTTCCGTCTCCTCTGACGCCGTGCTGTTCGCCGCCGTCGGTGGGCCTAAATGGGACCATATCCGGCGCGGGTTGGACGGGCCCGAGGGCGGCTTGCTGCAGGTGCGCAAGGCCATGGATATCTACGCCAATCTGCGCCCTTGCTCAGTGGACTCACCGAGTCGGTCGATCGCGCGGGAGTATAGCCCATTCCGGCAGGATGTCATCGAAGGGGTGGACTTTGTGGTCGTGCGGGAAAATTGTGGTGGGGCTTATTTTGGGAGGAAGGTCGAGCAGGAGGACTATGGTTTGTTCCCCCCCCCTGCTTTCCTCGCCATGAAAAGAACATCAGTGTGCTAATGGGTAAAGCCATGGACGAATGGGGATACTCAACCGCCGAGATCCAACGCGTCACTCGCCTCTCTGCAGAGCTGGCCTTGCGACACGATCCCCCTTGGCCGGTTATTTCGCTCGATAAGGCCAATGTGCTGGCATCTTCGCGACTCTGGCGACGGGTCGTCGAGGAGACGATAAAGAAAGAGTACCCCCAGGTAAAACTACTGCATCAGCTTGCAGACTCTGCGTCTTTGATCCTGGCGACCAACCCGCGGGCGTTGAACGGCGTCATCCTGGCGGACAACACCTTCGGCGACATGATCTCCGACCAGGCGGGGTCCCTTGTCGGGACCTTGGGCGTGCTCCCCAGCGCCAGCCTAGACGGTCTGCCGCAGCCGGGCGAGGAGGGCAAAGTGCGGGGCTTGTATGAGCCGACCCACGGGTCTGCGCCCACGTACGTCTCCCTACCCGTGTCATTATCGGGGTCAAGGAAGCTAACATGGCAGCAGGATTGCCAACCGGAATATCGCGAATCCCACCGCTATGATCCTTTGCGTGGCGCTTATGTTCCGCTACTCGTTTAACATGGAGAAAGAAGCTCGCCAGATCGAGGAGGCTGTGCGCGCTGTTCTGGATGCCGGAATCCGCACCTCTGATCTAGGAGGCAACTCGGGGACCAAAGAGTTTGGCGATGCGGTTGTTGCAGCACTGCGGGATGAGGTGCCTGGAAAGGCTGCCTCTTTTTCCAAATAATAAGTAGATAGTGCGCCTCACCTGTTCAAACCTGATCAATCGTGATCTCAAATTGTCACAGTTGACTATTGTCTGTACAAGTCACATGAGTGGCTGGTGCCTGACGGTGCCTGAATGATGCATGCAGCATCGGAAGCGTAAACCTGGATTACTAAACAATGTATCGCAACGTGGAGTCCTCGGTAGGCATCATAGAAAGATATCCCGCACATATAGTCCATGTAGACACGACATGATCGTAAATAAAACCCCGGGTGTAAATCGTCGTTTTGCAAACCGCGAGGATTAGATCGAGACCCAAAACGATCCATACCCCTCCCTACGATGATGACGACAGCGGCATCTTGATGGTGAAGGGCTAACCCTACCCACCTGTTTGTCCTGTTTGTCCACCCCGCGCATAAAAGAAGAATCATCTGGCAGACATTCCACCCCTTCGACAACCATCCTCCTTCCGGCAAACAACCTCCCACCATGGGTCAGGTAGAGGAGCTCCCGGACGACTTCGACGAGTCCCTCAGGCTCAACGACAAGCATTTCAAGGAGGACCCTCCGCGGGAATTCCACGCCAATGTGGACGTACCTCCCCCGCCTCCCGGCGCCGCCGGCGAGGATGAGGCGCCGTTCCCTATCAACGAGGAGCGCCTGAAGGAGATCGAAAAGGACCCCTTGGCGCCGAAGATGTCGGCGACGATGGCGTCCGTCAAGTCCAACACCATGGAGGACATCCAGAACTACATGAACAAGACGCCCTTGTTCATGACGGATATCGATAAGGCGGGCGACGAGCGTAAGTGGCTTCGAAACATCATTTCTTCTCTTTTCTATCCACAAACTGCTTTCGTGATGATTCTATTTTCGGGTCCCATTGAAGCTGTACACAACTCATACTCTAGTACAGCGTGAAATGAATACCAGTGGAATGGTAGAATCTGAAAATACATGCGGTCATGCATTGTTGATTGCCGTCCAGCATAGATTGGTTCATATGCTAACGTGGAAGACTGTTGATCACAGATGGTGAAAACCCCATGCTCGACGCTATCCAAGCGATCCAAAACGAGGGTACCCGCGGCGAGGTCGCCCAGAACTACCGGGAACAAGGCAACGAAGCCGCGCGGGAAAAGCGCTGGGTTGATGCCAAGGAGTTCTACACCAAGGCTATCGCTATCCTGCAAGCCAAGGTCGACAAGTGGGATCAGCCGGAGGACCTCGCAGCGGAGGAGAAGCTGAAGCGCGAGGTTGAAGAGGCGTCCTTCATCAATCGTGCTCTGGCTAATCTAGAGTTGAGTAAGTTACTGGCTGCCTCTTAGGCTTCACCGGGTCGATTGATTTCGTGAATCTATGCTAATGTACACACAACAGAAAATTTCCGTTCTACGACCATAGACTGTGCCTCGGTGTTGAAGCTCAACCCGGCCAATGTCAAAGCCTTTTACCGCTCCTCCGCGGCCTTGTACGCGTTGGACAAGATCTCCGAAGCGGAAGACGCCGCGACCCGGGGCCTTGCCATCGACCCCAACAACAAGTCACTGCAGCAGGTTCTGTTGAAAGCCACCGAACGCAAGGCCTCTCTGGAGCGCATCGCGGCCAAGAAACGGGCCGACGATGAGCGCACACGGAAGCAAAGGCTGCTACTAAGCACCGCGCTGCGGGCGCGGCAGATCCGCACCCGCAAGACGGATCAGCCTGCCGAGATGGAAGACGCGGGCATCCGGCTGTCTCCGGACCCGCTCTCCCCCGAGAGCACTCTGGAGTTCCCGGCTGTCTTCCTGTACCACATGGACGCGCAGTCCGACTTCATCAAGTCATTCTCCGAAATGAACTGCATCGAGGACCATCTGGAGTACATCTTCCCCTTGCCGTGGGATACCAAGAAGGAGTACACGATGAACGGCGTGGAATGCTTCATGGACACTGTCACCGGTGGGTTGATCAAGGCAGGCAAGAAGCTCCCGCTCCTGGAGATCCTCAGCGGCGGGAAGGTCGAGGTGGTCGACGAACTGGTTCGGATCTACGTGATCCCGTCTGCAAAGACTGGACAGTTCATCTCCGAAATGAAGGCTCGTAAGAACGGCTGAACGACTTGTTTCCCTTCCAAGGTGAAGTATGTTTTCAGTCTGCCTGTGGGCTTATCGGGTGCGGGCGCTGGCTGTCTACAATAGTCCATTCCTCCCGCGGCGTGGCCACAAACCCCCGCGCAGACGATGCTGACTTGCTCGGGGAATAATGTGATCACGAACCCCATACCCCTTAGATACCACTGTAGCATGATGGCTCTAGGCTTGTACTAGGCCAGTTAACTACTGACGGTTGCCGGCACCACACCCGCCAGATGATGGTTCATATCCGCGTTATTGACGTAGATGTGGGTCGACAACCGTGCAAATCGTTGGCACTTGGTCTTGGCAGAGATTAAACTGCTTCGATCTCGGGCCCGATGTCTGATCTCGGATCCGAGATTTTGCTGAATTTACATTTTAGTCTGTTCCAGAACCGCGTGTGCTCGACTATCGTAGGCCATATAACCAATTCAAGTGTGTCACTTGCCAACGGAATATACCCACCCTACCAAAGATGGAGACTTCAACTTAAACTATCGGCCGAGTGGCAAAATTCCTTCAGATGCTTGCATTCCGCTGACTACATTCTGGACCGAGTATCTGGTTACTTCCTAGATGTCAAAATCATGGATACAGGGAAAGCAAGGCGTAAGAGGACGCCCCAAGGACTCACGCCTGTGATAGATGCTATCCATCCATTATTTTACCCTAGGGCTTTGTAACTGCAGTCTCAACTCGAGGTTTACAGCTACCCAACGATAAACATAAGAACCCTTGACTGGAATAAAATAAAGACTGTAAGCAATCTGGAGCATACCAGGTTAAAGCTGTCAAACAGCCTGTTCTTCAAACGGCCAAACTGGCACGGAATTATCTACTTCCTGTTTATCTTATCATTCACATAGAAGTGTGTGCCATATAGTCTTTCGGCCAAGGCGCTGCGTTGAGCTGTCACCTTTCTTAGTCTTCTCTTTCTCTATCTTTTTGCTCTTCCTATTGTCGATTGAGCAGATGGCATTGCCATCTCGCGTCAAATACGGTACTTCTTTGCCCGTACTGCTGTGTTGCTGTTCCGGCTACCCTGGGTGATGATCTGACAATTAGCATAACAACCATAGCCCTATACAGTGACCTTTCCTGTGGTATTGTGGGATGTCATTGAGTATGTCCTTGGTCAAGCTCATGAGCTGTACAGTCATTGGAAAGAGACCATATATCAATGTAAACATGGGTGACTCGGCTGATGATGAGCAACATCTTCGACGTAAAATCGTAATAGATCCATACAGTTTCCCCCGGATGCTGGATTTTGGATCTAGTTGACGACCGGTCACGAAAAGCGGGATTGGTTACTTCTTCTCCAAATACTTATAGGCTAGCTCCCTTCTGCTGCTAATTATATTTGACAACAGCTAACAGGGAAACTACTGATCAGGCATTTTGTAATCTTAGCTAGACCTGCTGACCACCGTCACAGATCCCGGGACATGGTTGATGGGTAATCCTGGTACACACTATCTTGTCCGTCTCATAGAATGTTGCAGTAATTAGAGATCAAAATGCAAATTCCCTCGGCTATGACACCCTCGCCTAGAGGCAATTGAGCCAGCAGCAACACGCGGTATTTATCCGGAAATGCAAATGCGGGGACCCCTGTACCAAGCCCATGTCGCGAAGTTGCAAGTTTTTTCCCCACCGTTCTCTACTTTTCTTCGATCGACACAATGTTTGTCTATGATATTCAATGATCGACATGGTCATAATCTGGAAGTCAATTGATCTACCATAGTTAAATTACTTTCAAGTGCCGGCATGGACGAGGCATCGCCGCGTTGCAGTTTCAACTCCAAAACTACACGTTTCCCGGCACTTCAGGCTGAATTCCCAACTGTCAAGCCACCGGATGAACAGGGGTGATTACTTCAACCAATTATTTACGGATTATACGCCTTCTGGGCCGACTCATGGTTCGCCAACGGCTGCAGACGAGAGCCGAGAATGGGCAGGAATCAGGAAAAAGTCCCTGTCGATCGTATATAAACCCTGAAGAAACCCGGCCAGAATGAAACAACGGACTCAAGCTTGTTACCCATCCTACTTGAAAATAGCAGTACCCTGTCGCCATAATGGTCCAGCTGTCATCTCTGGCCGCGGCCCTAGCTGTCGGACTTCTTCCGCATCTGTATGCCCCTGCAATCTACGCTTCTCGGGTGTGACTATCTAACACCGCGTGTAGAGCCGTCGCTGCAGGTCTCCATGAAGCCGCCGTTGCAAAAGGAAAGTTATACTTTGGCACGGCCACCGACAATGGCGAATTGAGCGACTCGCCCTATTTCAAGCAGCTGGGCAATACCGCTGATTTTGGACAAATAACGCCCTCTAATTCGATGAAGGCGAGTCACTACTGCATCTCTATGTCTTGCTTCATTTGACTATATATGCTGACCGTGACGTAGTGGGAGTCCAACGAACCCTCGCAGAACTCGTTCTCGTTCGCCGGTGGAGATGCCATCGCCGACTTGGCCGAGACCAATGGACAGAAGCTGCGCTGTCATACCCTTGTTTGGCACAGCCAGCTTCCCAATTGGGGTACGTCAATTCTAAACCTATGAGTAACCAGTGTGGTTGATTCTAAAATGAACAAGTATCAAGCGGCACCTGGACCAACGAGACCCTCCTGGCAGCAATGAAGAACCACATCACGAAGGTGGCTACCCATTACAAGGGACGATGCTATGCATGGGATGTAGTCAACGAGGGTGAGCCCACCACTAACTACCTCCAGCACCACGATTGACAACCATGAATAACACTAACAATCAAAAGCCCTCAACGAAGACGGCACCTACCGAGACAGCCCCTTCTTGGAACACATCGGCGAAGCCTTCCTCCCCATCGCCTTCGCCACAGCAGCAGCCGCAGACCCCACCGCAAAGCTCTACTACAACGACTACAACATTGAATCCCCCGGTGCCAAAGCCACCGCGGCCGCCAAAATAGTCAAGCTGATCCAATCCTACGGCGTCAAGATCGACGGCGTCGGCATGCAAGCCCACTTCATCGTCGGCAGCAGCCCCAGCGAGTCCGCTCTCAGCAGTACGCTCTCCAGCTACACCTCTCTCGGCGTCGAAGCCGCCTACACCGAGCTCGACATCCGCCTGCAACTCCCCTCAACGGACGCCCAGCTCGCGCAGCAGTCGACCGACTACCAGGCCGTGGCAGCCGCCTGCGTCAAAAACACCGACTGCGTGGGCATCACCATCTGGGACTGGACGGACAAGTACTCGTGGGTGCCTGGCGTGTTTTCCGGGTACGGCGATGCCTGCCCGTGGGATGAGAATCTGACCAAGAAGCCTGCGTATTCGGGGCTGATGGCGGGTCTTGGGGGTGGTGGTTCGTCGACGACGACGACGGCTGGGACTACGATGACTACGACGACGAGCTCCGCGGCGCCGACTTCGACTGGGGAGGCGCAGAAGTGGGGACAGTGTGGAGGCTTGCATTGGACGGGACCGACTGTCTGTGTCAGTGGCACGACGTGTCAGAAACAGAATGATTACTATTCGCAGTGTCTGTGAGGGGGTAGAAGGTTCGCAATGAGGTACGCTATGTCGTGGTGTCATTGCTTTTCTCTGTCTGGAGATCTACGTATATAGCACAAGAAGACGTCTATATTGAACAGGGATATTAACACACCCAGTACACTGAATCTTGCCTAGGGCACACAATCTCACTCAACAAAACAGAGTGATACAGATCGGATGTTGTCGTATAGTAGGCCAACAGTAGTCATGTGTGTAGCTGGGTTGTAAACTTCTGACCTGTCCGTTTCGACTCTGCCAACAACCTACACCATCAAGCACTCCAGGATTCCATCGCCCTCCCATAACCATAGCCACGACTATCGCTAGTCCATCAAGAGAGACAGCATCAAATGCGAACTACGCCCCAGAACCACACCGACAGAAACGGGATGAAGAAGAACGGGAAGTTGACGACCGGTCCTGACTGTTTTAATTAGTGAAATTTCTCATCTGTGGAGACCTTGCAATGGCGAATCCATTGCGTCGGACACTTACCGAGTTGAATACGGACAAGTGCCGTATCCGAGCCGCCCGTTTCCGCTACGATGTCGATGGTCAGTGGTTTGGCTCGGGCCGACGACGCGGATGTATTTCAAAGTGGAGCCCGACAAGGCCTAGAATGGATACTGAGGAAATGAAGTTCGGTACCTGGCATGGCTGATGGATTGGGGCATAGATCAGAGCGATGTGAAATGGATGAGCTTAGATGAGCCTACGGGAAGATTGGAAAGAAGCTGGTAAAATCGATACTAAGATGGGGATGAATCCAGCTGACAACAGCTGCAAGTCACAACAAAACCTATGCTGCGATGGAAGCCTCATACGCCTGGACCAACTCATAAATCGCCGTCACATACTCGGTCGCGCGCGGGCCCCCGATCGTGCCCGGGCCCATATGATTCATGACATACGTGATGGTTATCTGGCGATCCATGTCGACCAGCCCGATGGAACCACCCCAACCGCCCCACCAGCATACTCGGCCAGCAGGCAACCAGCTCATTGCATCCTTCTCCTCCTCGGACAGACTCAACGGCGAGGACAACGCGAACCCCATCCCAAAGCGCACAGGCATATCCATCACGATCTCCTTGTCCGGGGACTGCTCCCGAAAGATTGCATCGATGGTCTCCGCGCCCATGAAACGGCGCCCGTCAACGGTACCATTCCGTGCGACGATAGAGAAGATGCGGTTGACGCTACGCGCGTTGCCAATTCCGCCCATGGACGGGATTCCAGCACGCCAGAAAGCTGGCGTGGCTGACTCGCTCGCGGGGAAGGAGCCCCCGCCCAAAACCCTCATGACCAAGCTCTCCGGACTGGGCATTTCCTTCAGCGGTGGCGGCGGGACCATCTCCCCGATCCGGCCCCATTCGCTCGCTGGCACCCCGAAATGAAAGTCCGCGGCCCGCGGCGTGGCTAGCTCGTCGCGCACAAACTCTCCCAGCGGCTTCCCGGCCACGCGGCGCACCAGCGCATCCGTAAGATAACCCTGCGAGAGGGCGTGGTAGCCAGCGGCAGTGCCGGGGGTCCACCAGGGCTCCTGGTGAGCGAGGGCGTCCGCGGCGGCGGAGATATCGTACAGTTGCGCCGGGGGAAGGGGCGGATTCCAAGACGGTAAGCCGGCCGTGTGGCCTAGCACATGGCGGACAAGGATATCGTCGCGGCCGGCGCCAGCAAACTCCGGCCAGTAAGTCACCAGCGGCGCATCCGGGTGGACCAGGCCGCGGTCGACGAGCAACAGGACGCCCAGGTTGGAAATGGGCTTAGAGAGTGACCAGACAGGTACGATGGTGTGTTCCGACCAGGGTTTGGAGCGTTCGGGGTCGGCGTGTCCGCCCCAGATGTCGACGACCGTCTCATCACCAATGGTAACGCACAGCGAAGCACC